TTAGATGAACACTCACTGCAGAAAGTGTAAAACCAGATATCCTTATCGTTCTTATTCAGCTTTGTGATCCAGCCAGATTCTTAACTCAGTTTCTCTTCTGGAGTTTCAGTTCACTATCAAATACCCATCCTAGTAGATAGGAGATGTGTTTCACTAATGGAAAAACAATTACCTATAGAACTGTTTGCTTCATTAGAGTATGAGGCTCTGTGTAAAATGCCACAATCATCAAAGATGCAAGGAATAAGTTAATACCTTTGGGTTTTTGAAATTCTGCCAGAGTCTATTTTTGGATAAAGTAAAATTGCTGAATTTTTCTTTCCTGAAGCTTATATTAAAATTGAAATTTGGTATTTATTCTCTGAGCATCTGTTTCTTCTGGAAACTGTAACTAATTGTATATTAATCTGAAGGTGAGTGTAATAGGAAGGGCTTAAGTAGAGTGGCAGCCTCATGTTGATGGCTGATGATGGAGGACAGGGCTGAAGAGACTCATACTAATGGTGGTTTAGTTCAAAGTCTTTTTCAAGGTCAGCCTTTTGCAACTACACAGTTAAGATGACTGTATGTAATTTGAAACATAGAATTTTTTAAGCTTCCATAATTCGGTTTACTTCAGTTTACTTACCAAACCTTTTCCTTTCAACTTTTGGCCTAAAACAAAGCTATTAAGTAAAATTCTGAGTTTAATAAAAAGCTTAGTGGTTTTTTAAAGTACAGCAGAATTTTGTTTAAATATGGTTAAAACTAAAGCAAAGATAAAAATGTGTTAATTAGAAAACTGAGAATTGACTGTTACTTTAAGAATTTTCTTCTTATAAAAAGATAAATTTGAATCATGGGAGACAAACCAGAATTTTTCTTTATCCTCATCACTTTAGAAAAACAATCTATGGAAAACTTCATGAAGTATTACATTAAAATTGTAAATATCATAAATATTTTCTAGTTGATTATTTCCTACTTCATAAAACTGACATTTCTATATAATAGTACAAACAAAGGAATTTTCTTTATAGTCTTCTCTCAGCCTTTTTGCTCAGCTGTTTCAGATATGTAGCCATTACCTTAATCTAACAATGGTTTTAATTGGATTTGGGGTCAAAGGAGACACTTAAGCTAGACATGTGCTGACAGAATGTTATTAATGAAGACATAAGGTGATTATAGTGAATTAAAGGAAATAGCTTCTAACTCAGTGTAAACTCTTTATCTTGGCATTCAAAGTCTTTCCATTTTATGAACTTAGTCCACCTTTTCAGTTTGACCTCTTTTCATCTCTAAAGAAGTTGAATCAAACTGGATTTCTTGGCTGTTGCTTAATCAGCTATTATATCTGTGACTGTAATTTGATGCCAAGAGTAAGATGCAGTTCACAAATGAGCTGTTTGGCCAGGAATTCTCACTCCTAAAATAAGATCCTCTCTTAACTCCTTGAGCTTAGTACTCTGTATCCTCTCCCTGAGCATCTCATCCACCCCTGTGATGTCAATTCCAGATCTCTGTCAAAGATATGGCACTGATTGCCTTCGCAGCTGCAGACTTACAGTTCCTGATTTCATACAGAATATTTCCATAAAAATGCCCTGCTGACACTTGAAACTCAACATACCTGAGACAGAATTTAATATCTTTAAAGAGTATTTCCACCTCCTTCCCAACCAGGGAATCTTCTAATCAACATTCATTTCTGAAATCCAGAACCCTACTGAAATAAAATGTATTGATCGTAGAGTCTAAATGTCTTTTTGTATTCATTCCTTTGTTTTTCCATTGATTGTCTATTTTACTTATTACCTTTAACCTGAACTCTGAACAGCTGGTGCCTGACCTCTAACTCCTCATAACCTATTTTCTCCACTATCAGAATAATTTTTCTAAAATATAGATTGGATTATATCACTTCCACCCAGAAACCTTGATGACTTTTTAAAATTAAAGTGTCATTATTATACAATTTCATGTTGGTTTCAGATGTATATCACAGTAGTTCAACAGTTCCTGTGATCAACTTATATTGTGATTGCGAATTATTGTGCCCCTTTATCCACCCACCCCCTGCACCTATCCCAGCCCCTCCCCCTTGGTAACCACTAGTCACTTCTCAGTGTCTGTGAGTCTGCTGCTGTTTTGCTTTGTTTTATATATTCCACAAATAAATGAAATTATATGGTATTTGTCTTTCTCCACCTGGCGTTGATGACTTTTTATTGTCTGTAGCAGTCCTGTAGATTAGAAATATACTGTAAACTATGTATGTAATCTTAAATTTTCTAGGAGCCATATTTTAAAAAGTAAAATGGAACATATGGTGAATTTCAGTTACAGTTGACCCTTGAACAACATGGGTTTGAACTGCGTGGATCCACTTTTATGTGGATTTTTTTCAGTAAATATAGTATTGGAAAGTTTTTGGGACATTTGTGGCATAATTTGAAAAACATTTTTTCTCTAACTTTTTGTAAAAATACAGCATATAATACAGATAGCATTAAAAATTTGTTGATCAACTGTTTGTGTTATTATTAAGGCCTCCTGTCAACAGTAGGCTATTAGTAGTTGTTTGGGGTGGGGAGTCAGAAGTTATATTCATATTTTCAGCTGCATGGGGGTGGGGTAGGCACCCCAACCCCTGCACTGTTCAAGGGCCAGCAGTAATATATTTATTTAACCTCATATATCTTAAGTATTTTAATATAAAAAACTATTACCAAGATATTTTACAGTATTTTTGGTACAACATTTTTAGGATCCAGAATCTATTTTACATTTAACAGCACATCTCAATCCAAACTACCCACATTTCAAACTCAATAATCACATATGGCTGCAGCTCCCTTATTGGACAGTGCAAGTCTACAGCATCAAGTTGAAAGTTCTTGAGTTTCAATTCTGGACCTTTTACAGTACAGCTTCAGCTCCTGCTCTGCATTTTTCAACTTCTCTTCCCTTACCCAAGCCCCACCCTTAAATACTAGTCTGCTATTCTTTTCCTTTCATTACTATTCCTAATGCCTGTGGAAATCTGACTTACTCCCTAAGCAAAAGCTTATTCCACTCTCATAGTGCCCCAAAGCATTAACCACTTTCTCTTGACCTTCCTGGCAGCATTTATGGGGGGAACCATTTGTCTAGTTCCTATGGGGTAGTAGTCCACTAGATGATGAACTTACCAGAAACAGGACGTGTCTCCCAGAGCCCTTTTATTTCTTCACTGTGGCCTCCATTTGCTCTTAGAGATATTCTTATCCTCTGCTCTTTGATATATTTGGGTTCTTAAGGAGTCTCTTCTTTAACAGTTGTTTTCTTTGCCTTTAAAATCTATTATAAATGAAATTTCCCTTTGTATCTGGATTATTTCCACTTTTAAAAGGTGTTCGTTCTCTTTGTGGAAGCTTTTGCTTGTGCAAGAGAGGAAATACTCATTTCCTTGTAAAAGTAGCTGCCTAATGTGAATTAAACTAGCTTTCAAATGTATGTGTGGTAGGTAATTCTGGTTTTAGCCTGATTCTAATCCTAAAATGACTCTATTATAGAACTTCTTCTTTGTAAGTAAATTATATTTGTATACTAAGGCTTTCCCCCCCACAGGCTTATTGAAAAGTTTATATGCTTTTTGAATCTGTTTCTCCCCTAAAGAGATTTGGCCAGTGGAGTTTTGCAGGGGATCTTTTTCCCATTTAAAAGTAAACAGGTGTCTGAAAGGTTGTGCTCTATTCTGGGAGAAATCTGATTAATGTTGAAGGGCTATGTCAGGCCAGACTCTATAACCTGCTGACAGCTTTTTTAGTGAGTGCCAGGATCAACTCTCAACGTTATCTCAGATTTTAATGGTTTTTTTTGTGAAGGGCATTTGTAGATGAAATCAGTTTATATTTAAAGTTAATTGTGGCTCCTAGAGACTGGTTAAAAAGAAATTCTGTGGGCAAGCAGTAGTTTGAAAATAATGAATGATTCAGCAGATGGATTTGCAAGGATTTTAACTGCATTCTGTGTTTTCACACGAATTGTTGTGTTAAATTGGTGATGAAATCTTACCCCTAGTGAAATAAGAATTCCTTAAAAGAAGTTCCTATTAAACTATCCTAAATTCTCCTAAGAATTTCTAAATATCCTCACAGCTGCTTGAAAAACACAGAAAGAGGTGGTATTTCTTCCTGGTAAGGTAGATCTCAGTCATCCCTGATGCTTCTCTTTCTCCCATGACCACTGTCCCCCATCCAGTCCACCTATAAAACCTTTTGTTTCACTGGATCCCAAATCCCTGTGCTCTGACTGCACTGCCACCATTTCACAGTTGAGCTACTGAGACAGATTCCTGACTCTTCCCCTTTTCCTGGTCTGTGCACAACAGGCAGAAGGATCTTTTTTATAGCTATTATCATTACCATTTAAACTTTGTATAATGGAAATTTCAAATATATCTCCAAGTAGAAAGATGAGTGTACCTCCCCTTCAACTTCAGTTATCCATTCATGGCTGCCAGTCCACCACTCCACCTCCCTGTTGTTTTGAGACAGATCTCAGACATCATATTACCTAATCAATTAATTTGGAATTGCCCCAAAGTGAAATTTTGCTTATTGGTTGGTCACAAAAGATAGGGAAAGTTGCTGCCCCAATGATAAGTCACCCTCTTTACTGGACAGTTAGCTTGGTGTTTTGCATGGGGCTGAATGGGAAATGGTATCGTGTTGACTTTGATGTCCTACTGACTTTACTGAACACTTGTTTCCTCTTGACAAAGGCGTCTTACTAAGATGGGACTCATCAATAGCTCTATGGACCTGTGAAAATCTCTGTACCAGTTCTGTACAATAGAAATATAATGTGAGCTTTACATGTTACTTAAAATTTTCTGGTATTCAGGTTCATTAAAAATCAAAAGAAACAGATGAAATTAATTTTAATAATATATTCTCTTTAGCACAGTATATCCAAAATAGTATTTTGACATGTAATCACTATAAAAATTAAAGAGGTATTTTACCCTTTTTCAGGGGTTGCAGATGGTGTAGGAGGATGGAGAGACTATGGAGTTGATCCATCTCAGTTCTCAGGGACTTTAATGCGGACCTGTGAACGGTTAGTTAAAGAAGGACGGTTCATCCCAAGTAATCCCATTGGAATCCTCACCACAAGCTACTGTGAGTTGCTGCAAAATAAAGTACCTTTGCTTGGTAAGTAGATATCCTATGTGTTTTCCTCTCTAAAGAAGTTCAGGTGACAGTTAATAACAAACCAAGAAGATAACTTACCAGCCCAGCTTTTTTTCTGAAGCTCTTCCTATTAAGCAAATTTTGATTGAGAGCCGTGAGCTCAAACAGAATACTTACTACTGCTTGGAGGGAATGTAAATAGCTACAACCACTTTGGAAAACAATTTGGAATTACAGAATAAAGTTAAAACTTTATTCTTTATTTATCTATAAGCAGATAGTATGCCACAGCAGTTCTATTTCTAAGTCTGTACTGTAGACTAGAGAAACTAGCACATCTGTGTATCAAGAGATAGGTACAAGAATGTTCGTAGTAACATGTATATAATGGCAGAAAACTGGGAGCAACCTAAAAGTTCATATATAGTTGAAAAACACATTTTGAAAAGGAACAATTTAAAGCAACTCAGGAACATGTTGAGGGAAAAGAGGACATTGCAGAATACCACCTGTCTGACTCCGTTTTTTTAAGTTCAAAAACATAAAAACTGTATTGTTTAGAGATTCTAAAATATGATGAAAGAAGAAAGAAGAGCAAGTGGTTTTATAATTCAGGATAGTGGTTTTCTCCAAGAAAGGAAGTAAGAGTATGGGGTCTGGCATGTAAAATTCAGTTGATTACCTATGGGGAGTTTAAGTTGCAGATAGGCATCCCAGACTGCTAGCAGTAAGCTTAGTCCCTGAAGTTGCATGGCACAAAATAGGTTCCTGTTAATCTTGTACTAGAAAACTTACAAATATCTATTGTTTGTTTATCTGGTATGCTAATGCAGCATCCTTTGGCCATGCCTCTACATTTGTTTATTAAATGGTTTCCTGGGAACTTACCAGCCTTCTAAGAAGGCTCTCTGAAGGGTGTTATTAAGTTTCTGCTAATTGCCAGCATCTTTCTGATTACTAGAAGGCTTCCCCTCCCAGTCACCATCTACATTTAAAATCGGCCTCTGTTCAGTGTTAATGGAGATCTCCATTTTGTAGAATCTTGCCTTCAGTTTAAATGCTTTGTAATAAGGGGTTCCTGTTATCATGCTGCCATCCTCTATCTTCTCTGCGCTGTGACTAACCAGCTTGTTTTCCTTCTAAGCGAAGAGAAACCTTGTCCTGAGGTTTCAATATCTCACTTTGTCTGAATCCACTATTTTGGACATGCAATCTGGAGCTTGCTTGGCACAGTGAAACATTCTAGATTCTATTTCTAGCACCTCTCTGTCAACTTGCTGTATGACTTGGGACAAACTACTTAACCTCTGACCCCTCCTTCATATGTTAAATGGAGAGATCTTTATTGTGTGTATGTGTGAAAAGGAAAGACTCAAAGCTTCATGCAATACTCAGAAACAAGCTGAAGGAAAAAGGACATTGCAGAATACCATCTAGTAGTCTACCAGCTAACAGAAAGCCTCAACAGAGATTCCATGGGCCCCACTCTGCATGTTCCCATGAGTCTTCTGCTAATGCTCCCCAGCTGTTTACTGTGACTTGGAATAAGAAGTCACAAAACAAACTACTCTGATTTTGCACTTTGAAAGCTTTGTTTTTTGCTATGTTTCTTCCTTATCCCTATTTCCTTTTCCTACTCACCCTCATGTAACTGAGTGACCTTAAATTTGGAGGTTTTTTTAGGTGGAATATTATACTTACTTTTTCTCCTGAAAGACATAATGAAATAATCCTTCCTTACAATGTTTGACACATACACACTTCTCTCTCATCTAATCTATACATCTCTAAGATGTTTGTAATTAAACTCAAGCATATTTTGGCAGATATGGGCTACTGAGTTGTATTGACCTCAGGTACAATTGCAAATAATGATAAGTTTACAAGATTAGTTCATCCTTTTTCTTTTTTTAATTCAGCAGCTGCTAAAAAGCCCATAACAATTCCAATATAAAGGGAAAGCTGATAGCCATACCACTTATTTCTTGAGAATTTCTAGCTGCTTTTAGATTTAGATTGGCATTGTGGGCTAATTGTTGACATGTATTTCTTCAGAAACCATAACTGGATTTAGGTCTTACGAAGCATATTTTAAGAATTTGAGGGATCCATCCTAATGAGGTTATCCCTTTCTCTCTGCTACTCAAAAGGCTTAGTAGTAGTTTATAAAATAAGGAGTCAGATAATAAAAATACTTTACTTTTAGTATAAGGGATTTGCTTGGGTGTGTGTCTGGATTGGTCAGTTGTCTGAACACCCGATGCTGTTGTTCTCAGCACTTCTTTTTTTCTTTGCCTGCTTGCTGCTCTCTAAATACATAAGAATAATGAGCTCCTCTCCCACTATTAGGCTGTCAGGGCTTGAGCCATGTGCACATCAGTAATTTGAAGAGGCAGAGGAGTGATATACACTCCAAGCCCAGATAATTGTGTAAGGCGAAGCTTTCCTTCCTTGGTTCTGCTTTGCATATTAAAGCTCTGTCACTCATGAGGACCGTTTTGATTCTAACTCAGTAGGTTACTGCCACAAGGATAGCAAAATGATAGTCTGGCTTTGTCAGTGTGAAATAATGAGTCAACATGAGTCCTTCCTGTAGCAGAATTTTCAAGGCTGTGCTACTTATTTGTCTTTTTTCATTCTCAGATTAATCCCTCCAGCTTCGAGAATATCTTTTGTATGGTGATTCTATTAATAATAAATGATTGGAGATTTTGTGCATTGAGTTAGGAAGGAAGGGTAATTGGTGATCTCAGTTCTAATACAAGCTGTGAAGTAGGTAATCTGACAACACTGCCAGTTTGTTACAGCACCTGTGTTTTTCTCTTCTTTGACCATTAACAAATGAGTAGTAGATAGTTTAGCATTAGAGTGTCAGGTTAGTACCCATGTATGTACTGTAGATAACAAGGAAATAGAATTTCTGGACATTACCAGGAGACAAGTCCTTAAATTTAAGTGTTTTTTCATTTTATTATTTTATATGTATGTGTGTGTGTGTGTGTGTGTGTGTATTTCATTTATACATTTTCATTAAGGAAAAAATAACAAAAATGAAATGACCCATAATTCCACTAAGAAGACTATTAATATTTAAGTAATTATGCACCCTGATTTTTTTTCTATGCATGTTTTGCATAAGGTAATGATAACCAGAATTTAATCTACTGTGTGCTCAAAATAGCTGCATGAAGTAGGTTCATAGGTACTTTTATTCCCCATTTTGTTAGGAAGAAACTTAAGGCCTAGAGAGAATAAATGACTTGCCGACAGTCACACAACTGGAAAACAATGGACCACTGGGATTTAACACATCTGGTTCCACACCCAGTTTACTTTTCATTTTGGCGGGGGGATAAAGTTGATACACAATATTATATTGGTTTCAGATGCACAACATAGTGACTTGATAATTATATACATTACTAGATGATTGCCAGAGTAAGTGCATTTCGTTTTGCTTTTTAACTGTCATCTTAGCAGTTTAGACTTTACCTGCTATTGCTTTTCTAAAAAAATTAGAGTAAATTTCAGTCTTTTTGATGTACAGTTAAGTTTGAGATCACGTTTTTTTAAAGAAAACTTTGATACTAGCTTGTAATCTAGTTTCAAGTAAGTTGTCTTTCATTTTCAAATGTATTTCTTTAACAGTTTTAGTAACTATCAAACTTACAATGTTATAAGTGTTTAACACGATTTAACTAATTTTATCTTCACAGACCATTCTATGAGGTATTTATTGTGATGCCTATTTTTGTAGGTCAGGAAACTGAGAAACAGATTGGTTAAATAATTTGCCCCAGATAACACAGCTTGTAAGTGGCAGAGCCAGCATTCACTCAGGCCAGCTGGCTCGAGAGTCTGTACTCTTGAGTATTATGTGAGAGCGTATAGACTTCACTGTGATTTATTTAACTGATTTCTTCATTTTATTTTTTTTATTGAAGTATAGTCGATATAAAATATTATATTGATTTCTGGTGTACACCATAGTGATTCAGTAATTATGTGCATTACAAAATGCTCACCATGGTAAGTGTTTGCCATCTGTCAACATACAAAGATATTGCAATATTATTGACTGTATTCGCTATGCTGTACTTTTCATCCCCATGAATTGTTTATTTTATAATTTGAAGTTTGCACCTTTTTATGACCTTCACCTATTTCACCCAACCTCCCTCTCCTGCCAATCCTTTAATTTTAGATATTCAAGTTGTTTCCCGTTGTTCCTGATCCTAAATAGTGTTTTTATACTAGTCTTGTTTGCATCTCTAAATGTTTTCTTAGGACAAATTCTCACAAACAGAATTGCTAGATCAAGGGCTGTACACATTTTTCAGGGCTTTATTGCCCTTTAGAAAGGCTGTGTAGTTTTTCTCTCTCATCATGGAATGAGAGTGACCTTGTTCCATGCATTCTTGCCAACACCATACATTATCCTCCTATGACTCTTAAATTCATAGGTAAAATGGTTACTAGTGTGATGATCATTTCTTCAAATATTTACAGACCATTTACATCTTGGTGAACTGTAGAGGTTTAAATTTTAGTATGTGAAAGTGATCTTACTAGTTGTTCGATCCCCCTCTCAGTCTGGGAAACGTCACACGAGCTGTGTGTACAAAGGTACAAAGAGATAGCTTTTTGCTATCTCTTTGGGATGTGGTCTCTTCTCTCTCAACATTAGTAGTCTTTGTAAAGTGAACTGGTTGATTCCTGGTTACCTGGGAAAATTGGTCTTGTTACTTCATAGTGAGTCAGTCTCTAGTAAAAGTTCTTCATGACCTCAACAGATGGAAATCTGATTTAAAATTATAGGTATGTCCCCTGTCTTAAATGTTAGTGAATTTTGTTGGAGAAGGCTTCCTGCCAATAACTAATAAGAAATGTCAAGGAAATGTAACATTTTTATTCTGGCATTTTAAGTATTAAAATTTAATATCTCAATAATGTGCTTTTGAGCAGTTGGCATAGATTAGCCCTACTGAAATAAAATCGTATGGTTAAATACCAGCCATATTTGTCATTTTCTATCTCTACAAATGAAAGAAATCCGACCTTAGTGGCTCACTTACTATGTATAATATAAATCCCTTTTCCTGTCCCCACCATGTTGACCCTGATGAGGTTACTATTGACATTTGTTGGAGATAAAGAGCATATCTACAAAAGGTCCTATTTAGGCAAAGGAGGTTCAAATTATGGCATGTTGCTCTTTGGGGTGATACTATAAAAATGCGTATGCAAGAGCAGCCTAGGAAGAGAAAATAAATGAAGATTATTTTTGTTTCTAGGTAGCAGTACTGCCTGCATTGTGGTGCTGGACAGAACTAGCCACCGCTTACACACGGCAAACCTGGGTGATTCAGGCTTTCTGGTTGTGAGGGGTGGCGAAGTTGTCCACAGATCAGATGAGCAGCAGCATTACTTCAACACTCCATTCCAACTCTCAATCGCACCACCTGAGGCTGAGGGAGTCGTCTTGAGTGACAGGTAACCTCTCCTCTTGGCCATTAAGTGTGAGCAGGACATGGCTCACCCACAGGTTCCTTCCCATTCCCCTTAACCATTCTCATATGAAAAAAGAAGCCATACCGAGAATGTTATCAGGAGGACCTTTTTAGTTTGACTTTGAAAGATATTTTGCTTGAACTTGACATTGCAGCCAAGTTGAATTCTGATAAACACCCAGTAGTTTGACAAGACTATGGAAACACTACTTCAGGCTTACAGAGTGTCAGGTTTTCATACCAAGACCACATGGTACATTACAGTTGTATTTGTTAAATTGTGCTGAGAAATGAGTCATTGTTCATGCATGCCACTGCCTGTGCAAGATTTTGCATATGTTGTTAAGGAAGAGCTCAAACAGACGTTTGCTTTATCAGAATAACTTCCCGAATCTCAGGGCCTCCTATTATATGCATCAAAAAGAAATTGCAGTCTGTGTGAAACCTGTGAGGGCAAAGTTAACCTGCAGGAAATGGAGTCAAAGTAGTTTTGGATATGTTCTGTGATGATGCTGTTGATGTGTTCTTCTGACGCCTTCTCTCAGCTCATTTTTAAATTGTCTAGAACCTTCCAAAATATACATTTTTAATCAATGTTTACAGTTTATCTTTCCTGAGATCAGAGTAAGGCTAAAACAATCTCAGATTTCATTGCCTTTAACAACCTGACAGGGCCTGGCACAAACATTGTTGGTAATTCATAAATGTTAAATGGGTAATCAACCTTTTGTAAGAAGAGGAGCATTCTAGCAACTGCATGTTGACTCTACTTAACAGTTCTTAGTAAGCCAGATCATAAGTCCAAACTAAGATAAAATGATTATTACTGCCATCTTTTAAACTTCAATGAATGTATTGTATAATTAGGTATTCAGCATTGCTTATCTAAAGTCTGTTGCTAACTCTTAGAGAAAAGGAAACATTTACTACTTTTGGATTACCATAATTGGAAGAATATTTTATTATAGATCTTTCTTGAGTTGGATGTAATACACATTAATATTAGCCATATTGGAGTGGGGAGAACTCAGAATCCCAAGGCCTTGGTAGAGCTCAGCTAACAGTTTTTGGAGGACACTGTTTTAGTTTTCCTTGATTTGATTCTTCTCGTTTTGGCTTCTAAATGCTGGGGCAGCCCTGCTCTATCTCACACACTATCTTTTGGACAGTCTGGTTAGGGCAGCACTCAGCTTGGTGTGCCAGCGAAGTGGAGGTTGCTTCCCCAGGAGCCCAGAGACAGCTTGCTAGCATGTGATTTTAGCTCGTGTTTCAGTGCAGTCAAAAGTTTCCAGCAGCACAGTATGTTCAATCAAAATGGGCAGAATGCAGCTGGCGGAACACCAAGCTCATGGGTGGGAGTGTTGGGAGAAGAGGATGAACTGTCCAATGGTAGCGAGTCTCTCTCAGGCAGAATAGCAAAGGACACTCCTGGGGAAAGAAGAACCTTAGCATAAAACAGAGCTTCAGTGTCAACCTCATCATTAATCTAAACTTCTAGAACTGATTAGTTTTCAAAGACTGAGCGAACATGAAGTATCTTGTATTGTTCTTCTTTATTCCATAGAAGAAATCGACCTGTTTCCACCAGTTTCACTGTCTTTTTTCTTTTTTCCCCTGCTGCATGTTTTCTTCTTGGTCCCTTTTACCTGTAAAATATTATTTTAACCTTAACTTATAGGTTTTACATTAGTAACTGTTTTTACAAATATTTATTGTATAAATGTATACGTGAGAGTTAATTTGTTCCTTGCCAAAGCCCATCACAGAACTTCAGATGTGCCAGTTCTTTCCTCAGTCAAGAGAAGATTAACCAGAAATTTTCTGTGCACTTTGTATAAATTCCCAACAGATAATGGATGGGTTGTTTGTTTCTGTTTTCTGTTCACAAATTTTATAACATATCACTTATACAAGTTTTGGAGTTTTTCTGTCAAGCTCAGGGTGCTTTGGTTCTGGACCCTCTCTTCCTCGTCATTGTATGAACTTTTTCCTGGCTCTTGTTCCCTAGTTATAGGTGAAGGCAGATTATCAGGCATCTCACCTTGGAAGCCTGGGAGCAGTGAAGCTAGTCTTTGGAAATGACTGAGAACTGGCCTCTGGGGAGCCATTAACTCCTCAAGTATATGATCTGTTCTTTTCTCCCCATGTGGGGTTTTTCTCCTCATTCTTATGTCTGTTTTCATCAGGTGTTGTCAGAGAAAAACATCTCTCATCTATCTTTTTTAAAGTTTTACACAAAAAGAAGTGGTGAAAAATCTGCCTCCTATCCTTGCCCCAGCCACACATTCCCTCAGAGGCAGCCACTATTACCTGCTTCTCTGAGAACTTCCAGATTTATTCTTTGCATGTAGAAGTATCTATATCTATGGATCTTCCTCCCCACACTATCTCTGCCTTGTTCTCTTCATTAACAATATATTAAAAAGAGTTTTTTCCCCAATTTGGAGGGCCACTTTGTTTCTTCATTCATTAGATATTTCTTAAAGATCTGCCATGTGCCAGGCACACTAATAATTAAACCCCCATGCATGATGAGCACTTTGTAAACCCCGGGAGACACATGTCCTTATTGTGCCAGAGTATTACTTAGCAATACTAACATAGTATTGCTAGTAATATGCTAGCAATTGCTAGTACTTTGGTAAGAAATACCATTGTAGGTATTTTCTGTGAATTAATTATTATAGGGTTTGCGTGCTCTCTTCCATGTGCTCAGTTGTTCCATTCTAACATATCCTCCTGAGAACCAGAGTCAAGCCTGCAGGGAAACTGATGTGTGGAAAATGAATAAAAGAAGATGGAATTTGGCTCTAAAGAATTAGGAAATAAAGACTCATTTGCACTAGGATTTTAGAGGCACGTTAGTTCTGACTCAGAAAAGAACCCTTCCTCCTCTTAAGCCACATGTGACTAATCATCAAAACTCAGTTTTAGTAGTTCGGGTTAAGCTTTTGAAATATATCAGTTTTCAATTATTTTTTTTAAGCTTAGAAATTTCAGGTGGTTGTTTCTGTTACTGACTGTTATTAAAGTTTTTCTTAAAGCCTAATTACATTATAACATAGTATCTATTGAAAACTTTGAACCGTGCCTCTAAAGGGCTCTCTTAACCTTGCCCCTACCCTGTCCTTGTCACAGCCCGGATGCTGCTGATAGCACATCTTTTGATGTCCAGTTAGGAGACATTATTCTGACGGCAACAGATGGACTCTTTGACAACATGCCTGATTATATGATCCTTCAGGAGCTTAAAAAGTTAAAGGTAATTAACTCAAAAGTTAACCCTTGGAAGCAGTGGCCTTCTCTGGACAGCTGAGTTTTATTGATTCAGTTACACTATCTCTCTTTGTAGTTTTGGAAAGAACTGTTTTATGAATGTAGGAAAAAACAGTTCTAATCTTTCAAGCAATTGTAAATGGAAATATTCACAGTTGGAGAATTTGAGGGGGAAAAGAAAGGCTTCTCATCCAAACTTTTAGTAGGGTGGTAAAGGTAGGAAAGTCCAGATGAAGAATTTTCTTGTTTGTATTTTTCATTGTATTTTAATGGTGTTTAATGGCGTTAGCTCCTGGTTGTCTTTTTCTCCTCTTATAACAAACCCCAGCAGTTGTTGATGCTGGGAAACATAGGAAATCCTTATACCAGAGCCCGCCAAGGCAGCATGCATCTAAGGGCCTTGATATGGTCTGACAGGTTACCAGTAACAAAAAAGTTCAGACTTGGCCCATACAGAAAGTGGAAGGAAGCGAAAACCAGTCTTTCTGTATTCTCCTGGCTTTGTAAAAGTACTGAGAAAAATTAGTCTTCTCTCATATTTTTACCACTAATCAGTATGACTTTGAGTCAATTTCTAAACATTTTAAGCAATATTTTCCTCACCTAAAATGAGGGATACAGAAAGGCCCTATTTTATAAGGTTGTGGTGAGGATTAGCTGAGACTGTGCACATGAAATCCTGTGTTGTGCCTGTCTGGGGGGTTCAGTAAAGATCGGTTGCTTATATGTACCAACACTGTACTCTGTCTGGTGACAGGGTGGCAAGCAGAAACATCTTCCCTGCCCTCATGAAGCTTACGTTCTAGTGGAGGAAGATAGCTAATACAGAGAAATAAATAGGTGATACTATGTTGGTGGTAACGAAGAAGAAAAATAAAGCAAGGTGAAGGGATGAAGGAACAGAATAGAGAGAGCTACTATTTGAGAAAGATTGGCCAGGGACATTGAAGTGGAGATCTATTATTATCTGTACTGAGACTATTCTGAATCTTAGAATGTTAGATAAAATGGACATTGTTTCCCATCCCCATTTTACAGATGATGAAGTTGAAGCAGCAAGGGATAAGGATATGACCCAAGATTACGCAGCTAGACAAGAATCTTTCATCATGATGTAAAATTCTGAATATATTTTCAGTAGGACACCTGGCAGCTCTTACTTGGAAAGCAAACTGTGGTTGGCCAGGAGTGCATTCATTCGTAAGCAAGGAATCTTTTGAAGTCAGCCCTAAAGTGTTACAAAAGTCCACCTTTTCACTCCTATCCCATTTTAGCAAGAATACCTTAAGAACTTCAAATGGGAAAAAAAGCAAAAATGAAAATCCAAACTTCAGGGCCCACAACCACCCCTAGCAAAGGACTTTCTGACCGACATGTTATAAAGGCAGCACTGGTAGTCTTGTCTCTTTTACTCAAGACATAGTGTTTTAATATCTAATAGATGAAACTTAAATGGTGAAAACTGTGGTTAGATCAATGTTACTGTCTTACAGACTGATATTTGCAAGAAATATACTGGTATGTAGAAATCATGTGAGGTATTGTGATAAAACTAACTCCTCATTCTTTCATCTTAGAATTCAAATTACGAGAGCATACAGCAGACGGCAAGAAGCATTGCTGAGCAAGCCCATGAGCTGGCCTATGACCCAAATTATATGTCACCTTTTGCACAGTTTGCATGTGACAACGGATTGAATGTAAGAGGTAAGCATTCTTTAGGATGGTCATAGAGACTCATTTGGGACATAGCAGGATAGGAGCATTGTGGGCTGAGGAGTGAGGTAAACTAGAGGGGTGGGAATGTTGAGGTGTCCTCTTCCAGCTGTGAGCCCGTGGGCTCTGAGCAAAGCCAGCAGGCTTTAACCCTGGAGGACAAGAGCAAGTGCGTGTCAACATGTCTTCCCCACAGAGCCCTTCAGAACTGAACTTCATTGGCTGCAGAAACAGGGGAAACCTGAAGCCCTTTTCTGGCACCACTGCACTACTTGGGTGTGAGCCCAAAAGGCCTCCAAACTCTGACTGGACATTCCTGACAGTTTAACATTCTGCCCTTCATGGATCTGACTTTCATGTCTCCCTTCCTCTGGCTTTCTGGGACTCATTGACAGTATTTGCCTGCCAGTTGCCACAGCCAATTTTGAACGGGAAAACGGTGTTAGACTGTCCTTGCTTGAAGCGTCCTTCTATTACTGATGGCATGTAACTTTGGGAGCAGGCCAGTAGCTCGGTCTTAGAGCTGGGATGGTATATTGGTGGTCGCATATCAGAGTTAGTAAAGTTGGTCAGTTTCTTACTGATACAGTATTATAACATGTAAAGCATTTCTTAGCCCTCCAGGAAATATTAAAATAGAAAAAAGCACATGCCATAGCTGTTTGGCAAATTAGAATACAAGACTATTCCTAGTTTCAAAACATTGGATATGTTTGTCCAAATTAGGATTGTAGGTAGAAGCATGCAACTTTCTCATCAGGCAGAATTTATCTTAACCAGATTTTGTCTTTACTGTGATATCTATAAAACAGGATTTGGTGGCCATTTTAACAGAGCTCTCACTTAAAAGAGCAAGGAAGGTTTTTTTAAAAGCTTCGGTTAAATTGCATGTAATTTCTTGGTGTTTTTGTTTAACATTTCTCTATCAAATATTTTTTTCTAATAGAGTATACAGACAAATCAGACCTGCATGGTACTTACTTAGGCTTATATATATATTTTTTTGGTATCATTAATCTACAATTACATAAGGAACATTATGTTTACTAGGCTCCCCCCTTCACCAAGTCCCCCCCCCACAAACCCCAGTACAGTCACTGTCCATCAGCATAGTAAGATGCTGTAGTCACTACTTGTCTTCTCTGTGTTGCACAGCCCTCCGCGTGCCTCCTCCCACATTATACATGCTAATTGTTAGGCTTACATTTTTTATTGACTTTTTTTTTAAACTATGTGAATACATTTTCATTTTCATTTTAGGTGGAAAGCCAGATGACATCACCGTCCTTCTTTCAATAGTGGCTGAGTATACAGACTGACTCACTTGAGTTGTCAATTCCTGCTTTTCCTTTCATCTTTCCAAATTCTCCCCTGCCATGTGTGCTGATCCTGCTGGCAGGACCATGTTTCTTTGCCACTGATCTCAATGGCCAGTGATGTGAACCAATGCCTATCTTTCTGAGATTCCATTGAGATCTTTGTTGAGAACCACTACTGTCTTTCACTAGCTTGTATCTGCCAGCAGCTTTGAAGAGAATCAAGATTTGAAGTTTGCCCTTCACTTCATGTGATGGAATGGAGGTTTTTCAAAGCCAAAATGGCTGTTACTTTTCAAAAGTGGTTTAAATATTGAAAGTTGAATAATGGTAAATTCAAAATTACAGTATCTGAAAGGGATTTTAAAAGTTTAATACAAATTGTATGTTATGGTACATCTATTCAAAACATATTATTCATCAAAAGAAATGTTACACATGTACTATACAGTCTTTGTTATGATGATTGGGTGTACCTTTTTGTTTCCATTATAAACTCCTATTTTTCAGGGGCTTGTAATTCTTCTCTGAAGCATTACCTGGATTATGAAATCTTGATTCCAGGGGCTTTTTTGTTACAAATCGGAAGAAAAATTCAGTTTAGTTCTGTGGGTGCAAATGTTTTGTGGTTTTTAAGAGATGCTAAATTGCATTTATGTAATGAAAGTTTTGGCAGTTTATTGATTAGTCCAAATCACAGGCTGGTGGCCTGATGCGCAGGAGAGGTGGGGGAGACTCCTTACCAAAAAGTTTTAATGGAAATATCAAGAGTGTAGAACTCCACAAAGCCTAGAAATTTAATGTTATGGCTGAAAATCTTCTTAGCTGTCTAATATGATGCCTCCACATGGGGGCTCTACACCCAGAGACCCAATGGGTAGAGAAGGGACAACTGTTAACTTTGAGTTTTGTAGGCTTTTGATGGACATGCTACTCCTAGTCTCACCCTCAGATCTTTGATTAGTCACCGTGCTTTCGGTAGAGCGAGCATCAAATGCAGGGTGTCCACGTGGAAGCCGCACTGTGACGGGGGCAGCAGCACAGAGGCCATGAGGAAAACTGGTGATAATCTGACATCTATTTGCCCTGCTCAGAAATGTAAGGGTTTCTGAACCAAGCTTAATGTTTACAGTTTCTGAATAGCCATCTTAAAGCAATGTACAGTTGCCTCATAAAACTACCCTAAATTCAGTTTTCCCCTTATCTGCAAGCTCAAACTTAACAAGGTTTATGTATGTCAACTGCTGTAAAGATATATATTTTGGGGTCAGTTTTTTCCTTCATTAACTCGGTGGTAGAAAAAAATATATACTTAGAAATCCTTAAATTAAAGCCATGTTTTATATATAAGTCAGGTAACATTGGTGTATAGATGAAAATGCAATCAAACCTGATGAGAAAATATAAAAAGTCTCTCTAAAGGAGATACTTACTCCCTGGTTTATTGCATTAAAACTTATGTTTGAGGTTACCTCAATTTGTTTTAAAATATTGTTTTGTGAATTTGTACTGTATATTTGAGTAACTGTCAAGCTTTTGTTTTATTTAAAATTGTTTAACATGTACCATGTACATGTCATTACTATATTTCAATGCATCATGCTTGTAACAGGCATTTCATTTATAAGAATGAGTTATTCATTTGTAAGCCATTCAGTAACTTATCTACTATTCCTAAATTGGCATAATGTTAGATACCTATTTTGAATCACCTTTAATTACATGTCAGAATGCCTTAACTACCCTAACTTAACAAAATGGAATTCCTTGTTGGTAGAGGAGATAGGGTGGGGTGGGAAGGGGAGGGGGAGACTGTTTAAATAATGAGGACCCATTGTGCTATGATAAAATATGGAAGTGTAGTGGCAAGTGGCGGGTTATTTATTTTGCACAAACTATTTGCAGTCTCTGTGTATTTAAAAAGTAAAGAAAGTTGCATCCAGAAGGATTTTGTTGGAAGGTACATTTATACATCTTAGGCTGAAGATTTCAGTTCCTTTGTTTGGGTTTTTAATTATTTCTGGTTAGATGTATGTAGCCTCTGCATTAATTTTTCAATGCCTACGTTTAATTACTGGTAAGAGCAGTATGGTCAAGTCACTGGCTTTTCTCTGCTCTCATTTAACCCATCAAACACAATCTTTATAAAGCTAGATTGGTGGTGTTTTACACAACTCATTTAATCACCTAGTCTTTTTTGAGATATGATTGTTAGAAATTGACAGTGTGTTCTTTCCAGTGACTTTGAAAATAGTGGGACAAGAAATAAGTTTCATAGTGGAACCGACCTTGGACCTGGCCCATAGATTAGTGACACAAAATATTTTTGTTTTCTTTTTCCCTTTTTTGTGTTACGCATTAATTTTATGACCACCTGAGTTTAGTTGTAGTGCTGTTTAACAAGTAACTCTGCTACTCTCAGTGGGTCAGAGGCTGTGTTAGACCCATACTGGAATTTTCCAGGTCACGAGACCCAAGTCTTCATGGGTGTGACTAAGATATACGTGGGTCTAATTCTGAACTTGATGTGTGTGTTATTTTAATTCAAATAGTATAAAACACACACACATTTGCCTCATGTAATGGACTTTTATAACAAAAGAAAATTTGGACTTTTAATTTACAAATGGCAAATTATCCCTCTCTGGATGCACCAAAGACCGGTAAAGTTTATAGCTTTTCCATCTATATTTATAAAGCAATACTGTATTATAAAAGTGAATATTTTTATCATATGCTTGAAGTTTTTATTTTGTTCTGTTTTAAAATGTGCACTCTAAACATATCAGAACCTTATTTCTTCCTGTGTACTTAAAGCTGCCTGCGCACAAAAATTTACTGAATGGTATGCAGTAGAGCCCATAGGCTCTTACAAAACTGAAAGAAGAAATTGAGGGTGGGGGGGATGTTGTTCTGAATTACTGTACTGGCTTGACATGGTTGATGGGTACTAAATCACAAAAAAATCCATTCCAAGGTTGCATGTCCGGGAGTTGGGCTGTGTCTAGATTAGAAGCTAGATTTCAGGTTTTGCGTGCGTGATGAGAGAGTGTCCTCTCCTATTGGCTGACTCTGTTCTAGACAGACAGTAGCCTTCAGTACCACCAACCTACTAAACCACATCAAGTAACAAGGCAGGAGTTGTGGGAATTTACTATGTCAGTTTTTTTAGCATTTTGGAGATTGTAAACAAGATTGGCTAGAACTGTAAATGTTTGTACTTTTGAAAAGTTTGTGGTTCCTTGTCACCTTATACCAGCTATCTTTGGTAGAACCTACAGCATCCAATTTCCCTGGAAACTGTGTCACATTTTTGCATTTAGCAAATTTTACAGTATCAAAAAATTAAAATCTTAGAAAACCAAAAATATAAAGCAGAAAGCATTTGGATTCTATTTGTTTAAAAAAATGTGAATTTCTTTGCAAAATTGAACCTCTCAACTAAAAATTGACAGTGTCCATGTCAAAATTTTATTAGCAGGTAGTTTGTGGCAAAGATGGTTAAATAATGAAGCAATTTTGAATTTGTATATACTAATGAGCCTCTTTTTTCTGTTGAGACTATCATCATTTATCTTACCCAAGAGTCAGTGACCTGAATTGGATGTCTGAAATATAACTTATGCAGGAATAGTTCTGTAAATACATTTAAATAAACTGTAAAGATATTTAATAAATATAGTATTTATACTAATCTGTGCAGTCCTTATAATTTGAATAGTAACTAAATAAGACACTAGCCCTTGACATTGAGTTTGTAGGTCTCTACCAAGTCCTCATTTCCAAGCCTCTTAGTCTAGCAGTGACTCCATACTTTGTAGCTATCATTTCCTGTCTTTCGCTAGTTTATCCACCTTAGCTCTTTTTTACCAGCTGGGTTACTACATCATTTTAACTTCTCAAAGAGTTGTCAAAATGGACTGATAATTGAATTTAAAATATAGATGTTTTCCTGGTGGAGTGTTTTGCATCTTCCAAATGGTTTGGAGTGAAGCCACAAAAAAATCTGGTGCCAAATTCTGAAATGCGAAGTATATACAATTTAACTATTTTTTTTTACAGACCAATGCTACCTTCATCCAGGCAATTAATGATGCCTTCATAGCCTAAATGCTCCTGATCATTTTGATGAATGAACCAGAAATTTTATCTTTGGCAAAGAGACCTGCAATCAGTGTATAAATGTTCTCTGTGTAGTTATCTGCATTTGTTAGCAATATGTGAAATTCAGTGTTAATCACTAATGTAAGCATAAGGTATATAATTCTTTAGCCCAGAGTGTGAAAGGACATCTTGAAACTATGTGGGCACTGCCAGTTTTCACACAAAGCTTGGTGAAAGCCCATTTTCATTCACTGAGGAACATTTTGGGATGCTCGTGAGTTTTTATTAGGTTATTGTGGGTAGCTCTGACTCATTACTAAGCTACAAGAGCCAAATTCATTTTGGTTTTAGAGTTCTGTTCACAGTTCTGAAGTTTACTGATCCACTCAGGCACTTCTGTGCATGAATTCCTCACAATAGTTGCTTGCCAGTTAATATTTCCTTGTGATTTGATAGTTTCACAAAGACTTAACAGTAAGATGTTAAAGAAGTCTAGTTTGTCAGGTTATAATTGACTATAAACAGGTTCACAGGAAAGAAAGGCATGTATCACAAGATACTACATAACTGTTTTTGTGCCAGATTTTTTTAGTCTGTGCAGGTATAAAGCTAATTCTTAAAGAAGGAAAGAACAGAGAAAGATTCATTGTCCACCTCATTCGATTCCAACTCCAGGCTGTTGTGAGTGGAGGTTGCTGCTGCTCTACAGCAGATAAGAGAAATTTTCTGGCATTGTTTCTATTAAATTCTTGACTACATCACATTGTAAAATTAAATCATATCTGAGAAGCAGAACAATGTAAGGCTATAAGAGAATTTTACAACATATAAAGTGATTCCAAAGTGAAAGGGGTAGCTATGTATTTTTTTTCTCGGCTTTTTTCCCAGAGGTTATTTTACTTAAAATGTTAAGATATAAAAAGCAACAGACTAGAAAAGTCATTGCATTACATGAGGAAAGATTGCATAATTTTTTACCATATCTGAAAGTACCAAAACTAAATGTTTGCAGTTGAGTACAAAAGCTACCTGACTACTAGTCACCAAACTATACAAGCCATATTGATGCACTCCAAATGGCTGCTGAAGAAAGTAAACACCTTTGTAAAACTGGTAAAGAAAATGTTAAAAGGTGTAGTGTGAATGTGATTGAACTGAATGATTCTAATGAGCTTTATCCCTGCACACAAAATTCTGCCTCCCAAGTAACATAATGGATTTAAAGCAAATTATATACACTTGACAAGCAGCTATTTCTAGATACAGTTGTTGTATGAGCTAATGTTTAGAAAAGCAAAAGCCCCTCTTCTATTTCAGGGAAGTCCAAGATAATACAGACCAAGTGTGAAAACAGTTTGAGGTGCAGGTGAGCCAGTAAATGGGGTGGGGCCGACTCAGCCATCATTCAGTGTTAGAATGTTGGAAAGCTGTCATTCGTGTCCTCTTCACTGTCACTTGCTGTTGCCAGACTGTTGAAAGGGTAGTTGATGTGTTCTTGCTGATCATTAGAAACTGCTCCAAAAAACATGCAAGAAAACTGGAGGAAAAAAAAATAATTCCACTGTTTATTCAAAGAAGTGCTCATTAAACTTTGATTAATGTGAAAACTTTGATTAGAGTGAAAGCTCCAGATAACATGGCTAATATGGTTTCCCTAACTTGGATAGTGATGGTTCATGGAACAACCCAGAACCTCCAATGATTGGTCCAAAAAATCTTACAACAAAACCCTTCCCTGACTTAAGCATATTGCTTGTATTCAAAGATAAGTATGTTATGAACAATCATAATGTAGTCAAAAAACAAGTGACCCAAATCTCAACTCTGAATATACTTTGTTAGAAATTGCTATTAATTATTTAACTATTTTGTTCTGACATTCTATAAATCAGTCTTTTATCCGCCTCAGACTGGTTTCGCCTCTCCCCTATCAAAATGTAGGAAAATTAGTTTTCATGATAGTTAGGGTCGGCTGGAGATAGATGATGAGAATTCTTAATTGAGACATGCTCAAATCTCAACATTTTTCTTTTACCTTCCTGTGATACGGAGACCCTGGCACTTCCTCTGTGTCGCTGACACTGCTTTCTGGTACTTCAGTAACGTCTCCATTTGTTTTCTTTGTTATAGGGCTGCCACAGCTTTCCAGTGTGGAAATGTTTCTGAGCGTCTCATTAGGATAAAGGCTTTTTGATGCCACTTTTCTTGAGATAGATTCCGGGACCTTGCTGGTTGCATTTTTACCAGTCCTTGAATTTGAACAGACCAGATCTGACCTGAGGTATTAATAGGGATTAAATGAACAAGTTATTTACTTTGAAATAAATATTTTTACATAACTAATGGAGCAACATGGGATGACAATAACAACACTGGTTTAGGAAATATTTTGAAATAACATGGAACTTGTTCAAAGTTGAGATTTACACATATGATTATTTAGAAATACTACAGATGCAAGTTTTTAGTAAAGCAACCCAGTGTGCATGAGACAATCATAATATGGTATCAGGGCCAAGTTAGGAAAAAAAAGTCAAATTACATCTGTATGACAATTTTATACAGTCATTAAAAACCATGTTTCGAAGTCAATCAGTGATACTGGAACATGTTCACAATATACTTTGTGGGGAAAAACAGGATACAAAACTACATACTCTGTATGATCCTGGTGGTGTTTTAAGATAGTTGACCTTTGAACAACATGGAGGTCAGAAGCACTGGCTCCTGCCACACAGTCGAAAATCCACATATAACTTTAAACTCCCCAAAAACTTAACTAATAGCCTCCTGTTGACCTTACCCATAACAAGCTGTCGATTCACGTATTTTGTAAGTCATATGTATTATATACTTTGTATTCTTGCGGTAAAGCTAGAGAAAATATTTTTCCAGATTGTTGCAAATCTCCCAAATATTTCCAATCTATTTACTGAGAAAATCTGTGTATAAGTGGACCCATGTGGTTCAAGGGTTAACTGTACAAAGCGTATGTAAAATTAAAAGTGGAAGAAAATATAGTGAGCCAATTGTTAACAGTGGCTACCTCTAGGTGGTGCAATTGTGGGTGATTTTTATTTTCTTCGTTATACTTCTCTGTATTTTGCAATATTATGTCACTTTTACGGTGAAGCACCCCCCCACCACCAAAAAAAAAAAGAGAGACATAAGAAAAAAAAGAGAAAAACAATGGCTGTCCGTATGTCACTCCTTAAAAATACTACTAAAAATGGAAATGAGTTTTGGGGAATAGCAAAGGTAAAACAGACAGTCCTGTTAAATTTAGATCAGAAGAGTAAAAGCAAGTATCTAATGCAAGATTATGATCTTCTATGTTGCCATACTATAGCTCTTCCTAATTCAAAATTTTTGATCTTCTAATGTTTTACTCAATTGTTTCTTCAATGAATGCCACTTATTTCACAGTGAGATTGCAGTGGCTTTTCCCCAACCAATAAAGAAGTTAAAACATGGCCTTACCTTTTTCGTTTTTGTGAAAGACACAGTGATTGTGGAGAAGATGCTCTACTTGGCTCATCAGCTAATGTAGCCAAAATAAAGTTAGCTTCCAGTAACATATCATCAATACTTAAAGACATTGGTCTAAAAAAGGCAAAGGCAAAGCAAACATCACATTCATTTTTCTGATAGGCATTGGGAAAACTTTAGAAAACTACCTAATTGTGGAGAAAAAAGAAATAGTGAAAGTAGAAGGCCCTTTTGTCATTTCACAAATTAACATAATCCTAAAATCTGAACAGGCCCTTAGAAATCATCAGATCCAGTTTCATAAAATATCCCAACCCAATCTCATTTGAAATTTTTGTGCTGATTATACAAAGTATCATAGTTTCATGGCTTAACTTGGTTAAGCCATGTATAAATTTATAATTAGGGAATGTATTCAGCATCATGTCAAATTTATAAATGTTTTCACCCTGCAGAAGAATATATCTTTCAACATTGATTGTCAATTAAAAAATGCCATGTTATGGCATCCTTCAAAATTTAAGTTTGGTAAGTGTTTGTAGTAAAGGAATTCCTGAGGTTTGAATTAATCGCAAAGTGATCTAAAGGGTTTATTATTGCTATATAACAAAAGAAAAAATACAAATTCAGGCAAGTTCCCAAGGACCTACTTCCCAGGAAAATCAAAATGAATAGATACAGGAGCATGTGTAGCTTCTGAAAATGTCAGCATTCCCTGGAAGGAAAAAACAAAAATTGAAATCCTCATAAAAATATACCAGTGAAATTTTTGATTTGACACATTTTTGTTTACCTTTAATTCTTTGAAGCAAAATGTTATTTCAGTATCAACTCTAATTTGAAATAAATCAAACTCATCTGGGCCGACAAACATCTCACTGTACACAGAATTGGCCAAATCTGTTCAATATTATAGGAAAAGACAGAATACAATTAGTTCCAGAGGTACTTGTTAAATTTTAATATGAAAATATAACTAAGTGGTAAGATAAAAATAGTCACAAATTCTTTGACATTCCTTCATTGAGAGGTAGGGTCTGTGTCTTATGTTCTGGGTGGGTGGGCTGGACTCTCTGACTGCTTTGACCAATAGGGTATATATAGGTGAAGTGACCTGGCGCTGGTTTCTGGGCCTTAAGAGACCAGCAGCCCCCACTTCCTCTATCCTCCATCCACTTCATCCTGCAGCACTCTCTTGGAACTCAGCCACCACGCTGATTTCATGCTGTAAGGAGTCCAAGTTAATGGAAAGGCCACATGTGTACAGTCACTCTGATTTATAGCCCAGCTTAGCCTCAGGCATTGATTACCACTCATGTCAGTGCATCATCCTGGATGTCTTCGATGATTCCAGATCCAGCACTATCTAACTGCAACTGCATGAGACACCCCTAAGTGAGAACGGCCCCTCTAAGCCCCATCAACTGACAGAAACATGAGAGGGAAGAATAAATTGTTTTAAGCTACTATGTTTTGGAGTGGCTTATTAAAAACAATTAAATAACCAGAATACCATGAAAAGTATTCTAAAGGGAACTTTATGAATACAGCTTAACATAAAACAACAAAGTTATATTTTATTTCATTATATCCCATCTTGTTTCAAAAAATACTAACAAAAAGGGCTAACGGATAATATAGAGGTATCATACTAAATTACAAAACAGGGTTAAAGATGCATGTAAAAATTTTAAGTTGAGATGTAATTCACATACCATAACATTCACTGCCTGAAAGTACACACTCCAGTGTGTGTGTTAGTATATTCACAGGTGGTGCAACCACCATTAAATTCCAGAACATTTTCATCACCCCAAAAAGAAATCCCACATCCATTACCAATTGCTCCCCACTTCCACTTCCTTCCAGTCCCTACAAACACTTTTTTTCTGTCTCTATGGATTTACTGATTCTGAATATTTCTTATCAATAGGATCTTTCTGTGTCTAGCTTCTAATGCTTTCAAGTCTCATCCATGTTGTAGCATGTACCAACGTACTTCATTCTTTTCTATTGCTGAGTAATATTAATTAGTTGTATGGATTGCCTCATTTTGTACATCCATTCACAAGTTCATGACTTTTGGGTAGTTTCCACTCTGGCTATTATAAATAATGCTGCTATGAACATTTGTGTGAACTGTGAGATGGAAGTCACTTGTTAGAGATGTTAGAGAAACAAGACAGAAAAATCTGATACCTTGACGATCATGGAGTATCCACACAAACCACTATTATTTTATTTTATGTTTTCTGTCACTCCCAGTTTAAGTTAATCCTAACAAATACACCCTACAATTTTTCATGTAGATTTTTCCATATCATGTTTGCTTATTAAGAATAGAGATATGCCATATCCTATACATCTTCTGTTCAAGAAGAGGTCATTGGACTTCGATTTTTCTTCAACAACTACAGTCATGATGAGCCCCTTATGTTTGGAACTTAAGACATACATTTTAAGATAATAAAAGATACAGTCATTATGCCTATTATGCTCCTTACTACATATTCTTTTATAATTTAAAAAACAATATACCAAAAGCACAAGTGACAAGAAAAATAGATAAATTGGACTTCATCAAAATTAAAAACTGTGCTTCAAGACAAGAAAATAAAAAGACAACCTATGGAGTGGGAGAGAATATTTGAAAGTACATATATGATAAGAGGCTGGATATACTGTATCCAGAACAATAAAAAGACAACCCAAGTGAAAAATGGAATTGAAACACATTTCTCCAAAGAAGATATGCTAATACCAATAACACATAAAAAGATACTCAACACCATTAGTTACTAGGGAAATAAAAATCAAAACCACAGTAAGACAGCATTTCATACCTACTAGGATGGTTAAAATCCAAAAGGTAGACAATAACAAATATTGAGGGTGTGGGGAAATCAGAACCCTGATAAAACTGCTGGTGGGAATGTAAAATGGTACACCTGCCTTGGAAAACAGTCTGACAGTTTTTCAAAATAAGAAACATTGGGTTACCACATGACTCAGCAAATACCCAAGATGAATGAAGACATGTCCACAAAAACATTGTAGCACTATTACTGCAACACTATTCATAAGAGCCAAAAAGTGAAACACCTAAAAACCCATCAAATGAGCACATAAATCAAATGTGGCATACCCATTACAATGGGTTATCCAGCAGCAAAAAAATTCAAAAGTAGTAGTATGCATGACTACTACATGGAACAACCTTGAAAACATTATGCTCAGTAAAAGAAACCAGACACAAAAAGCCACATGTTATATGACTCCATATATATGAAATGTCCTGAAATAGTCAATCCATAAAGACAGAAAGTAGATCAGTGGTTGACTAGGGCTGGGATGGGGATTGGGAGGAAATGGGAGGTGACTGCTAATACATATGACTGAATGTTCCCAAGTTGACTGTGATGATGAATGCATAACTCTGAATATATTGAAAAGTCACTGAATTATACACTTTAAGTGGATCAACTAGTATATGAATTATATATAAAGCTGTTTTTTTAAAAAAGTGATGAAATTGGAGGAAAAAAAATATTTTTTGTCTCCCTAACTGTATGCAATTTCCTCCTAATCCACCTTATCCCCACACACAATATCTGTATACTATTTTCAAATATCTTTGTTCAAAAATAAACTCAATGTGTTATTTGTAATAAATTGTAAATTCCTATTTAACTCCCAACAGGCTAGGGTCTGCTACAAGTTCACATAAATCAAACTGTTTTAAATGCCAGAGTTATCTAAATTGATCTAAAAAGAATAAAATTTCTAATGGGAATGATACAAAGATATAGTTTTCACTCACTTCTTTTTCATTCATATCTTTAATAACTTATCATTTGTTATCTTTAACAAAATCTTGTAACATCTCACCTAATTGCATTGACTAATAACTCTAGTACAATGTTAAATAGTGGAGGACACAGTAGGCATCTGATCTTAGTGGAAAAGATTCTAGTGTTTTCCTATTAAGTAGGATGCTGGCTTTAGGTATATGTAAAAAATACGTATTTCATACTGTTAAGAAAGTGTCAGTTATTACGCTGATGGACAGTGACTGTAATGGGGCATGTGGTGGGGACTTGATAATGGGGGGAGTCTAGTAACCATAATGTTGCTCATGTAATTGTAGATTAATGATACCAAAATAAAAAAAAATAAAGTGTCATTTAGTTCCTATATTCTTCAGTATTTTATATCAGGAATGAATGTTACAATTTTTCTAAGGCTTTTCAGCATCTATGGAGATAATCATATACAGTTTTTCCCTAAATTTATTAATAATATAGTGTTTTATGTTATTGGATTTTCCAATATCGAACCAACCTTGCATTTCTGGAATAAATCCCCCTTGATCATGGCATATTATTTCTTTATTGAGGTGTTGAATTTGATTTCCTAATATTTATTCAACTTTTATGTGCAATTTTTAAAAGGCAAATATGATCATACATGCATGATTTTATAATGTATTCAATAATGTATCCTATTTTTCCATGACAGTAAGTACATTTTTATAATTTTTACATGTGTATCAGTGTTCTGTTTTCCACTACAAAAATGCTTCAATAAACATCTTTGATGTATACACTCAGAAAGAAAGGAATGCACACACATACACACACACACACAGCTTCATAGTATTTCATTACCTTCACTTAACCAATCTCCTGTTAGCACTGAGGTGTAGAAGGAGATGAACCAAACTATTAAAAGTATTTATTGCTGACATGATATTGTACATAAAAAACCCTAAAGACTCCATTCCAAAACTACTAGAACTAATATCTGAATTCAGCAAAGTTGCAGGGTACAAAATTAACACACAGAAATCTGTTGCTTTCCTATACACTAACGATGAACTAGCAGAAAGAAATCAGGAAAACAATTCCATTCACAGTTGCATCAAAAAGAATAAAATACCTAGGAAATAAACCTAACCAAGGAAGTGAAAGACCTATACCCTGAAAACTACAAGACACTCTTAAGAGAAATTAAAAAGGACACTAACAAACGGAAACTCATCCCATGCTCTTGGGTAGGAAGAATTAATATTGTCAAAATGGCCATCCTGCCTAAAGCAATCTACAGATTCAATGCAATCCCTATCAAAATACCAACAGCATTCTTCAAAAAACTGGAACAAATAGTTCTAAAATTCATATGGAGGCACCAAAGACTCTGAATAGCCAAAACAATCCTGAGAAGGAAGAATAAAGCAGGGGGGATCTCACTTCCGAACTGCAAGCTCTACTACAAAGCCACAGTAATCAAGACAATTGGGTACTGACACAAGACCAGTGGAACAGAATAGAGACTCCAGACATTAACCCAAACATATATGGTCAATTAATATATGATAAAGGAGCCATGGACATACAATGGGGAAATGACAGCCTCTTCAACAGCTGGTGTTGGCAAAACTGGACAGCTACATATAAGAGAATGAAACTGGATCATTGTCTAACCCCATACACAAAAGTAAATTTGAAATGGACCAAAGACCTGAATGTAAGTCATGAAACCATAAAACTCTTAGAAAAATATATAGGCAAAAATCTCTTGGACATAAACATTAGCAACTTCTTCATGAACATATCTCGCTGGGCAAGGGAAACAAAAGCAAAAATGAGGAAGTGGGACTACATCAAACTAAAAAGCTTCTGTACAGCAAAGGACACCATCAGTAGAACAAAAAGCCATCCTACAGTATGGGAGAATATATTCATAAATGACAGATCCAATAAAGGGTTGACTTCCAAAGTATATAAAGAGCTTACCCACCTCAACAAACAAAAAGCAAATAAGCTAATCAAAAAATGGACAGAGGAGCTGAACAGACACTTCTCCAAAGAAGAAATTCAGATGGTCAACAGGTACATGAAAAGATGCTCCATATTGCTAATCATCAGAAAAATGCAAATTAAAACCACAATGAGATATCACCTCACACTGGTGAGGATGGCCACTATCCAAAAGACAAACAACAACAAATGCTGGTGAGGATGCGGAGAAAGAGGAACCCTCCTAGACTGCTGGTGGAAATGTAAATTAGTTCAACCATCGTGAAAAGCAGTATGGAGGTTCCTCAAAAAAATAAAAATAGACATACCATTTGACCCAGGAATTCCACTCCTAGGAATTTACCCTAAGAATGCAGCAGCCCAGTTTGAAAAAGACATATGCACCCCTAAGTTAATTGCAGCACTATTCACAATAGCCAAGAAATGGAAGCAACTTAAGTGTCCATCAGTAGATGAATGGATAAAGAAGATGTGGTACATATACACAATGGAATATTATTCAACCATACGAAGAAAACAAATCCTACCATTTGCAACAACATGGATGGAGCTAGAGGGTATTATGCTCAGTGAAATAAGCCAAGCGGAAAAAGACAAGTATCAAATGATTTCACTCATTTGTGGAGTATAAGAACAAAGAAAAAAACTGAAGGAACAAAACAGCAGACCCACAGAATCCAAGAATGGACTAACAGTTACCAAAGAGAAAGGCACTGGGAAGAATGGGTGGGAAGGGAGGGATAAGGGGGGGAAAAAAAGGGGGTATTACTATTAGCACACATAATGTGGGGTGAGGACAGGGAGGGTTGTACAACACAGAGAAGACAAGTAGTGATTCTATAGCATCTTACTACGCTGATGGACAGTGACTGTAATGGGGTATGTGTGGGGGACTTGGTGATGGGGGAGTCTAGTAAACATAATGTTCTTCATATAATTGTAGATTAATGATACCAAAATAAAAAAATTAAAAATTAAAAAATTAAAAGATCAAATGAATTCATAAGTGTAAACCATTTAGAACAACTTGGCACAAACTAAACACCACAAAAGTCATCTGACCCATTTAAGCCCTGGTTCTACTGGTTTTTCACTTTAAAATAACATAATCCCCTCCTTTGTATTCTTTCATACACACACACACACACACACACACACACACACACATTATTCAAGGTCAAAGAATCTCAAACAGCTTATGCCAAAAAGACCCTACTAAAATTTCTTGATGCCAACACTCCTGATTTAATTGAGCCTTAGTTTCACCATTCCACATAGATAACTCTTGGAAGAACTGGCTTAAGTATTCAATTTTCTGCCCTATGTATTTGCCATCTGGAATACCTTACATTTCTAATTCAAATTATTTTTTCTTCTTATGTGGCCAAAGATCATCTCAATTGGATTGCTGGCCTCTTAATTCTTTATGCTAAACACAAAGGATGAGAAAGGAAGAGAAGTAGACTTTAAAATATTAACTGAAAAAATATTTTTCTCAGTAACCATTCTCCTAATTTTAAAACAACCTGAATTTTAAAGCCAAACATTTTATTGCCGATTGTGTTTAAATTTCCTGGTTCTCTTAAAAATTTCAATTTTTCCTCATCTTACTGCTTTTTAGACAAGAATAAATATTATGCCACTAATATTTACTGTACAGTTAGTAATCAAGAAAGCCAGGAAGTAATATTTCATCAAAGCACCATGAACCTTACCCATTGATTCCTCATTAGAACTCTTAAGGCAAACATTCAGTGGAGTAACAGCAAGAGTAACTTCTTGACTTGATGTAAAAAGAACAGCTGCTTCAGCAAGCACTCTATAAAATGTAACAAAAAGTATTACATTGTTTGAAAAATAGAAAGAAATAACCTTATTAAATCTTAAATCTGGAAGTAAACAAGTTATGTAGTTACAACCAACTTAGAGGTTATAGGTTAATAGAAAAACTTAACCCCCAAAACACCTTCTTTCTTCTAAATGAGCTGCTATATTTTTAGGATATTTAAAAATTATAGCTTCACTCGAAAGCCAAGAGATTATATTCTTAGTAAGGCGTGTGAAAGCTTCAGAGTAAATCAAACACTAGAACAAAGTGTCTTTAATTCTACGTTTTCATATGCCCAATATATTTTTTTAATGGCCTGGAATCATATTCCAAAGGGAGATAGTAGAAAACAGGGCTGTTCAAATAGTCTGGGAGAACAATGCTGGAGACCCAGTTGAGGGACAGGTTTACAAGCAGCCTGCTGCCTGTATTCTCTTCCCCTATTTTACTTGTCCTGGATTATTACCTATTACTTTCCAGGTTGCTTTGACATCCCAAATGTCCTTTCATCCTGGGCTTTCTTTTTACAAATAGCTTTATTGAGATATAACTCACATACTATAAGAGTCACAGAGTTGAAGTTATTTAATAATTTGTATTTCCTAATGACGAATGATTTTGAGCATTTGTGTATCTTCTTTGGAAAAATGTCTATTCAAATCCCTTTCCCATTTTTTTTCTAGGTTATCCTTTTATTATATTTTAAGTTCTGGGCTACTTTTGAAATCAAGATGTTGTTAGATAAAAATTAGATTCTTAGAATTTATGTAATGTTGGTGTTAACCTGATGCTAGACATTAGCTCAGCAATGTTTCTTGATGTCAAAATGTCAGGAACACCTATCAAATCATCTGGGAAGTTTTCCAGTATTAAGGGGAGGTGTTGTACAAGATAACAAATAACCTGATATAAAAAATGATAATATGAATGTGCAGATGTAAAGGAAGAAAAATACAAATTGCTAATAAATATAAGAAATGATGCTCAAACTCCCTAGAATAAACACAACAATAAAGAACATCTAATAATACCATTTTCTACCTACTAGGTTGGCAACATTTTTAAAGGTGGATCATATTCTTTACTTGGAAGGAGTCTCCTATACTTTTGGTGGGAATGGAAATTGGCACAAACTTTTCAGACAGCAATTTGGTAGTAGTCAATATGTGTAAAAATTTTAAATTTGTGCAAGACTTTGACCCAGAAAATTCATTTCTAGGACTCTATCTGTGTCAGGCAGCCTTTAAGATGGCCCCCAAAGATCCCCACATCCTGGCATTCATGCTTTTAAATAATTCCCTCCCCTGGAGCATGGGCTGGATTTATAGACTCACTTTTAAGGAAGAGAAAATGAGTGATGAAATGTCAACCCTGAGATGAGGATATAAGGGACTTTGGCTTCCATACTGGGAATTCTCTCTCTCTCTCATTACCAGCTGCCATGTTGTGAGGACAATCGGGCAGCCTACAGAGAGGTCTGCATGGTCAGGTTTGGCCTACCAGCAACCACATGAGTGGGCTTGGAAACTGGTCTTCTGAGGCCTCCCAAAAGGAGTGTCAGTGAGCTTGGGAATGCATCCCCCAAGTCCAGCCTTCAGGTGAGGCTGCAGTCTTGGCTGACAGCCTCACTTCAACCTCAGGAGAGACCTTGAGCTAGAAGCACCCAGCTAAGCCACACTTATTACTATTAAGTAATAAATGTCTGGTCTTTTTAAGCTCTAAGTTGTGGGGCTATTTACTTCACAGAAATAGGTAACTAATATACTATCCCATGTACAACCTGCAGCATTGTTTGTGACAAAGAAAAGTTGGAATCAACCTACTTTTTCACTAGTAGGGTAATGGGTAAGTTATGATTCAGTAATGCAATGAAAAATTACACAATCATTAAAAAAGAATAAGATTGACTTCAGTGAACTGACTTAGAGACTAAAAAAAGCAAGTTGCCAAACAATAAGAATAGGAGGATGTTTTCTTTGAAAAACTGTATGTTGTCTAGTATATGATATGAATTTAAAAGAGAGAGGGAGATAAGGAGAGAAATTTACATCCACAGAAATAGGGAGAGGGAGAGTTATAGCAAGACTGGATTTGGATAAACAGACCTAGAAGGTTGTACACCAAATTGTTAATAGATGTTACCTTTGCCAAGTGGAATATAGGGGGCAGACAGAGAAGACAGACTTTCGTTTTTTACCTTTGCACTCTTCTATATATTTTAGATGTGTTGCAAGGAGCATGTATTGTTTTTGTAACTTAAAACCAATAAGGATAAAATATCTTTTGGCTTTCAAAGTGATGAATGGCTATAGCTTAAAGGAAGAACTGGGTACCCTTTCACCAACAAATATGCCTCACTCATTCTCTAGAGAGAAAAAAGCAAACAGGGATAATATCAGTTCACATAAAAAATGCAAGCATTTCCTTGTACTGTGTATTTTAAAACTCAAGACAGAAGCCAACTTATAAATACAAAATATTACAGTTGACCCTTGAATAACACAAGTCACTTATATGCAGATTTTTTTCAATAAATGTGTTGGGAAACTTTTTGGAGACTGCAACAATTTGAAAAACATTTTCTTTTCTCTCACTATATTATAAGAATACAGTATACAATACATATAACATACAAACTATGTGTTAATCAACTTTTTATATTATCAGTGAGGCTTCTGGTCAACAGTACATTGTTAAATTCTGGGGAGTCAAAGTTATACACAGATTTTGAACAGCACTGGGTGTAGCTATCCTAACCTCTGTATTATTCAAGAGTCAACTGTAATACATTTTTCTCTTCGTATCACTTGATGTAGAAGGCCACTGATGGAGTATTTTTAGGACTTTCTTGCCACTAAATTATTACTGCCACCATTGGGCAATTATTATCTACTAGTATCTTTCTTAAGATTTCCTCTTGACCCTGTAAGGCGATTTCTCCAAGCCAAGTGTTAGCTTTTTAAATAATGTAACTGATTTAAAGGTTCAAGGGCATTAATGCTTTCTCCTGTGACCACACTATATTTAAAAAAAAGAAAAACAACAGAGAACTCATTACCTTGGTTGAATCATTAGTGTATTAGAACACATATTTTTATCAAAAATAACTTGCAAGGGCTGACTTTCTTGAAAAAACACATTATGAGTTCTTTTAATACCTTAAAAGGAATAAAGCAAACCATTAATAATTTTAAGTATAAACTGAGAAGATTTCAAAAGTCTTTAAGTTTCACAGCCATATCAAAATAATAAATTTAAAGTAACATTTATTATCTGGCAGGTGCCATGTAGTTTGTAGCACCATTCCTTAATGAAATGTGTTTATCGCTCCCTAGTGGACACCATTCAACATGCCATGTCTTCTGACCAGTCAGTCAGTAGTTCCCAAATTCGTTTGAAATAAAGGAATTTCTTAAACGGTGTAAAATAATGGATGCCCACTTAGGACCATATATCTATGATTCTCTTTCAGTACCTCTCATCCAGGACTGATGTTCCTGGATTTCTGGGACTTGTGGAAGTTCAACCTAAACATCTGGTCTGTGAATTCTTTTCCTCTGAGAGGAAGAGAAGGAGAGGGTGTAGGGTTCCACAGCCATACGTACCAGGAGCTGTGGCAAACATTTTCTTAATCTGGGAAGAGGAAACTAGCTGGGTGAGGCTCAATGACTTTTCAAGGCTCTGCAATTTTAACCAATATAGCTAGAATTTGAATCTAAGTTTGAATACAGAGTCCATGTAATCAAATCCAAGTGGGCTATAACTTTCTACAGCATAATAATGTTGCAGTGAGAAACAAAAGGGCTCATTAGAACATTTTGCATTTTATTTGTTTTTTTTTGTACTGAATTAATAACAATAGCAACATTTATTAATTTCATAAGTGTTTACTGAGCAGCTGCTATATACAAGGCTGTGTTAGTTAGCTTTTGCTGGACAAACCACTCCAAAATTTAGTGGCTCAAAATAAGCACTTGTAATTTCTCACAATTCAGCTGAGCAGGTCTGGTTTAGGCTGGCTTAGCTATGGCTGGATCATCTTGGATGGTCTAATTTTCATGTCTGGGGCCTCAGCCAGGACAACTCAAATGGCTGGGATTACTGGTATAGCTGAGGTCTCTCAACATGGCCTCCAATCCTCCAGGAGTCTACACTGAGCTGCACTTGTTCTCACGCTGATAGAAAGGCTCCAGGTTCAACAGTGAAGGCTAATAGGCCTCAGCTTGGAACTCACAATATCACTTCCAGTTCATTTTACTGACATCAAAGCAAGTCCAAGGCCAGCTGAGATTCCAAGTGGGGAAACACAGACTCCAGCTTTTGAAGAAGGGGCTGTAAATAATCTGTGAGCATATTTTGGTAACCTACCACACAGACAATTTTAGGACCTTCCGTTTTTCTCATCAACACATGCTAAATAAACACTTTGAACCTATACCTCTGGTCATACTGCTCCCTCATCATAGAATGCCCTCCCCAAAAGATACAAATTGGACAAAAACCTCTGGCCTCACAGAGCTTACATTCTAGAAAGGCATAGGCTCTGCAATTTTAACCAATATAGCTAGAATTTGAATCTAAGTTTGAATACAGAGTCCATGTAATCAAATCCAAGTGGGCTATAACTTTCTACAGCATAATAATGTTGCAGTGAGAAACAAAAGGGCTCATTAGAACATTTTGCATTTTATTTGTTTTTTTTTGTACTGAATTAATAACAATAGCAACATTTATTAATTTCATAAGTGTTTACTGAGCAGCTGCTATATACAAGGCTGTGTTAGTTAGCTTTTGCTGGACAAACCACTCCAAAATTTAGTGGCTCAAAATAAGCACTTGTAATTTCTCACAATTCAGCTGAGCAGGTCTGGTTTAGGCTGGCTTAGCTATGGCTGGATCATCTTGGATGGTCTAATTTTCATGTCTGGGGCCTCAGCCAGGACAACTCAAATGGCTGGGATTACTGGTATAGCTGAGGTCTCTCAACATGGCCTCCAATCCTCCAGGAGTCTACACTGAGCTGCACTTGTTCTCACGCTGATAGAAAGGCTCCAGGTTCAACAGTGAAGGCTAATAGGCCTCAGCTTGGAACTCACAATATCACTTCCAGTTCATTTTACTGACATCAAAGCAAGTCCAAGGCCAGCTGAGATTCCAAGTGGGGAAACACAGACTCCAGCTTTTGAAGAAGGGGCTGCAAATAATCTGTGAGCATATTTTGGTAACCTACCACACAGACAATTTTAGGACCTTCCGTTTTTCTCATCAACACATGCTAAATAAACACTTTGAACCTATACCTCTGGTCATACTGCTCCCTCATCATAGAATGCCCTCCCCAAAAGATACAAATTGGACAAAAACCTCTGGCCTCACAGAGCTTACATTCTAGAAAGGCAGAGACAGTAAGAAAATAAGTGAAGCAATTGGTATTCACACGGTGATAAGTGCCACAGGAAAAAGGAAAGCACAGAGGGCCCTAGGGAGTGCCAGTGGGGGTGGGCAGCAATTTCAAATGGAGAGGCCAAGGAAGACTTCATGGATAAAATGCCATTTAAGTGAAGGCCTGGAGGAGTAGAAAGAGCAAGCCGTGTGCTACCTAGAGAAGGAGCATGCGGGGCTGAGGGAGCAGGGGCAGAGCTTCGAGGACGAAGCATACCTGGGGCTTCAGAATCACTAGGACCTTAAAGGCCATTGTTAAGATCTCAGGCTTTTACCCTGGGTAAAATGGTGAAGTTTTTTTTTTGAGACATTTGAGCAGTGGAGTTATATAATCTGACTCTATTTTATCTTTGCACTCTTCTATCAATTTTAGAAGTATTATAAGGAGCATGGGCTTGCAAAGAATTAATGTGATTTCTATTTAGGGAAGTTTTGGGAAGACATAAAGCTCAAAAGCTGACATGTCTTACCTATTTAAAAAGATATTTGCAAGTTTATATTTGCAAGAGACAGGTAATAGACACACCTGGTATAAATTCAAAAGATACCAAAGAACAGACAGTGAAAAGTAAGTCATCCCGCACCCACGACTCCTGCAACCCGAATACCCTTCCCAGAGGCAACTACTGTTCCAAGCTTCTTAGGTATCCTTCAGAAAGAGCCCATGCAGAGAGAAGCACAACCATACCTCTATCACAAATATTTGGCCCAAATGAATATTAGAATCGCCAACCAAGGGTGTCTGTGCTGAGGAATGCCTCCTTTCTCTGTCATCCCTGATGCTCCTTTTCTTGCAACTTGCTTCCTTCCCTTTTTCTCATCAACACATGCTAAATAAACACTTTGAACCTATACCTCTGGTCACACTGCTCCCTCATCATAGAATGCCCTCCCATTCCTGCCTATTGGAAACTCACTCCAATGTGATGCCACTCACCAGAAAGCCTTTCCTTTTCACCTTTCTCTCTGGTTCTCTTGTTTAAAGTACCCTTTTTAAAGCAACTGGGCTTGATGTACCTCTCCGCTGTGGTTTTTCTAGTCTTTTAGTTTAATAGCATGCAAATGAGATAAAATGTGGAAGTCCTGTGTTCTCCCTGGGTCACTTATTAAGTACTGCACAAAGTAGTGGACTGTAATAAGATGAGAAAATTTTATCAGAATTTACTTTCTTCATTGAGAAAGTCTTACTGTTAAACACAAACAAAAAAGGAAAAACAAAGTGAGATAGAGAGAATGCTTAGTAATGTGGTTGGCTTAAATTCTGGCATAAGCGCTTTATCTTCTCACAGACCAGTAACAAACAGTTTGGGGCCCAGCAGCCAGTCCTTGGACCGCTCTGAGTAGCAGTGCCTTTTACCATCTGCTCCTGGCCTTGGGATAACCTGATGTTATGACAGAATTCCACCTGCCACTTCTTAAGGTCAATTTAGAACATTCCTCAGTGGGTGCAGAGAAGTCTTTCAAACTCAAGGAGTATAGCTAAGGAACAACCATTATTCTTGAGTTTGGAATTTCAGAGGATAGTGATACTTCAAAGGTCTTACAGGTTATTCAAGTGTTCCCTAATCCCTTTAAGTTCATTGTTAAGTTAGTTTAAAGTCATTAGCACATCTGTAGAATCCCCTCTTACAAAATCTTAAAACCTTGCAGTGGGAAGCTAGCCCTCCTGACATGACTCTGTTAACATATGTGTATGAATCAGTTTTATTTCCACTCAGTAGCCCAGCACATGCCTCTCATGGGAGCCTCTCCCTGCTAGAAATGTGTCTCCTTGAGCCAGGTAGAACTTATTAGCAGGTGGTTTATATAAGAGCGCATTCTGACAATTCACTGACTCACTTTTCTGCAACTCTTGGGTCAGTGCAAAAGTAAATATGGAGAACTGGTGGAATTATTAATAAGCAGATAATTATTTCAGATTAATCTTGGATCTTGATATAAATCATCCTTTTTGTCTAATAGGAGATGCTAAATAATCTAAGATATTACCTGTTTGAATCACTATTCATCTTATCTATGGTTAGATTCAGAGACATTAGCCTTTTTAGTAGCTCCTGTTTTCGCAACTGTTTTCTACCAATGAAGAGAGCCAAATTTACTTTACTATTTTTATTTTCTTCCCAAATTTCAAATATGTATTTCTAGCAGCTTATTGGATATCTATGCCCAGGTGATTTTCTCAAGTATATTTGAATATTTCTCCACCAGATTACAAATATAAAATTGCAAATATGATTTGCTGAGTACACACAGTTTTGGAAAACACAACTGCTGACCCCAGTTACTGCAACAGCATCTGTCCCCTACATGTCCCCTTCCTTCCTGTGCCTTCGCTTCCCCACTGTGGGGCATACATGAGGTTTGGGTGGACTGACCACTTCCAGCATCACAGGTGGGAATGCATCGGTATAAACCACTTGGTATAATCTTATCCCTCCACAGCTGAATGTGGTCCAGATATGACAGTAAGCCAAGGGAGTTAGAGAATGGTATGCCCCTAGCCACCAGGATTAGTTTAGGTTGGTCTAATCAGAGCAAAGTCAAGCAATTTTGTTCAATGGATTTATGAGGTTAGGTTCTCATTCTCCCTGGACTTGAATGAGCAAGCATGTGGCTCCAGCTGCTGCTAAAAGTCACCTTATTGTTAAAGGTTTATAAGAGAAGCCAGACTTAGTATAAACATGGAGGAGAGCAGAGCAGAGAATTTTTTTAAGTGAAGAGAAGGAAAAGAAGTAGCATCTGCTGCAGCCTGGATCAAACCACACCTATGACCTAAATTTTTCACTTACATGATCCAAGTTTCCTTCTTACTGTTTAAGTCAATTGAGTTGGATTTTATTGTTGGTTTTTTTTTTTCTGTTACTAGAGCATCCTAACTTACCCCCTCCCTACAAAAGCTATTGAAAATCAACTGATCATCTTAAGAGAAATTAAAGAGGACACTAACAAATGGTAACTCCTCCCATGCTCTTGGCTAAGAAGAATTAATATCGTCAAAATGACCATCCTGCCTAAAGCAATCAACAAATTCAATGCAATCCCTATCAAAATACCAACAGCATTCTTCAATGAACTGGAACAAATAGTTCTAAAATTCATATGGAACCACAAAAGACCTCGAATAGCCAAAGCAATCCTGAGAAGGAAAAATAAAGCAAGAGGGATCTCACTCCCCAACTTCAAGCTCTACTACAAAGCCACAGTAATCAAGACATTGGGTACTGGCACAAGAACAGACCCACAGACCAGTGGAACAGAATAGAGACTCCAGACATTAACCCAAACATATATGGTCAATTAATATATGATAAAGGAGCCATGGACATACAATGGGGAAATGACAGCCTCTTCAACAGCTGGTGTTGGCAAACCTGACAGCTACATGTAAGAAAATGAAACTGGATCATTGTCTAATCCCATATACAAAAGTAAATTCAAAATGGACCAAAGACCTGAATGTAAGTCATGAAACCATAGAACTCTTAGAAAAAAACATAGGCAAAAATCTCTTGGACATAAACATGAGCGACCTATTCATGAACATATCTCCCCAGGCAAGGGAAACAAAAGCAAAAATGAACAAGTGGGACTATATCAAGCTGAAAAGTTTCTGTATAGCAAAGGACACCACCAATGGAACAAAAAGGCATCCTACAGTATGGGAGAATATATTCATAAATGACAGATCCAATAAAGGGTTGACATCCAAAATATATAAAGAGCTCATGCACCTCAACAAACAAAAAAGCAAATAATCCAATTAAAAAATGGGCAGAGGAGCTGAACAGACAGTTCTCCAAAGAAGAAATTCAGATGGCCAACAGACACATGAAAAGATGCTCCACATCACTAGTCATCAGAGAAATGCAAATTAAAACCACAATGCAATATCACCTCACACCAGTAAGGATCGCCAGCATCCATAAGACAAACAACAACAAATGTTGGCAAGGTTGTGGAGAAAGGGGAACCCTCCTACACTGCTGGTGGGAATGTAAACTAATTCAACCATTGTGAAAAGCAGGATGGAGGTTCCTCAAAAAAATAAAAATAGACATACCATTTGACCCAGGAATTCCACTCCCAGGAATTTACCTTAAGAATGCAGCAGCCCAGTTTGAAAAAGACATATGCACCCCTATATTTATCGCAGCACTATTTACAATAGCCAAGAAATGGAAGCAACCTAAGTGTCCATCAGTAGATGAATGGATAAAGAGATGTGGTACGTATACACAATGGAATATTATTCAGCCATAAGAAGAAAACAAATCCTACCATTTGCAACAACATGGATGGATGGAGCTAGAGGGTATTATGCTCAGGGAAATAAGCCAGGAGGAGAAAGACAAGTACCAAATGATTTCACTCATCTGTGGAGTATAAGAACAAAGAAAAACTTGAAGGAACAAAACAGCAGCAGACCTACAGAACCCAAGAATGGACTAACAGTTACCAAAGGGAAAGGGACTGGGGAGGATAGGTGGGAAGGGAGGAATAAGGGGGGAAAAAAAGAAAGGGGGCACTATGATTAGCACGTATAATGTTGGGGGCGCGCGGGGAGGGCTGTGCAACACAGAGAAGACAAGTAGTGATTCTACGGCATCTTACTGTGCTGATGGACAGTGATTGTGGTGAGGTTTGTGGGGAGGGCCTGGTGATGGGGGGAGTCTAGTAAACATGTTCCTCATGTAATTGTAGATTAATGATACCAAAAAAAAATAAACAATTAAAAGAACTGGAAAGGATTTGATCTTTAAAAAAAAATCAACTGATCAACAAATATGTATGGGACATTACTCTAATCAAGCCACTTGAGAGATACCTAAGAAACTGAAAAAGGGGTTGCTTAAAATCTAGCTGGAGAAAAGGGGCAAGGATTATAGTAACAGTAGTCACTGACTATTTGGTACTCCCTCCATGTCAGGCACCATGCCATATGCTTTACATATGTGATCTCACTTCACCCTCAAAACAACCCTGGAACGTGAGCATAGGTAAGATTATCCATGTTTTACAGAAAAGAAAATGGAGGTTCAGAGAGCTTAGGTACTGTCACAAAGCTGATAAGCACAGAAGAAGAATCTACACCCAAATCTATATGACGTCAAGGCTTGCTGTGCTTTTAATCACATGATTCTGCTACTACAAGAACTAAAATTCAAAAAGGGAAAAATAAGGTTAAATGTTTACATTTTTTAGGGAAAAAAATTAAGAAATATAATATAAATATGACCTTAAGTAAACATACTGAGACAAGTATAAGACAAAATTAAGAAATATAAGATACATTGTAACACTCAGATAACCTTCCCAAAGACCGTTCCACTACAAAAAAAGATTTAAACCAATATCACAATTACAGGATTTCCTAAACCATACAGTTGTACCTGCTAACTTCAAATAGTAGCAATAATAAATAACTAAATGTAACAAACAATAAATACAACTAAAGCTAACACTTAGAGAATGTGCCAGGGCTCCCTTTAAATGCTTTAGAACTATAACTTTCTATAACTCACCGAATCCGTACAAAAATCCAAGGAGCCTGGCACTAGTATTATCTCCAAAGGTCTCAGCAAGGAAGGGGCAGAGCAAGATTCTACCCCAGAGCTTGTAGCCTCCAGAGTCCATACTCTTAATCACCGTTTTATACATAATTAATCATGTAAAAGTTGATGAGTACATTTGAGTATTTACCATGCAAGGCTGGGAGGGCAGGAAATCTGTTTTACAGCTTGGTGTAGCCAAGAGAATGAATGAAGGTTATGGTTCCTGTTATTGGGAAGTTGAACTCAAATCCAGATTCTGGGACTTAGTAGTTCTGTGACCTTTGGCCAGTTACCACACTTCTTTCAGCCCCAATATGACACTATCTGCCTCCTAGAGGAGTTTCAATACAGGTAAACATTATTCTTTTCTGTTCTTACCAAGGAACACTGTTACCAAGGCACTCTCATGGAATATCATCAAACAGCCAGTTAATTTTAGAAGAAACAATTGTTTGAATTCAAAAGGACATTTAAAAAAATTGGTTTGTAAGCAGGCAAAGCTTGTGCCACTGACAAATCAAAAAAGGAAATAATAACAATCCTCTCACAATACTTCTGTAGAGACAAGGTAATAGTTTTTAAATACTAACATCCTACCACAAAACTACATAAATTCTAAGCAAAAATGCAATTAGAAGTCTTGATGTGTAGTTTGGATATTCTAAACATGACAGATATTAACAAAAAACAATACTATTTTTAATTATACATACCATGTCTGCAGAAGAATTGAAAAATGACTTTGCACTTTTCAGGTCTGGTGAATATTTTGCACTTTTCTACATTTCTTTCAAGGGAATTCAGACATCTAAAGATAGGCAGAATTGACTGTAATAGAAATACATTGTAGAACAGCACATACTTAATATGGTTGGCTAGTTAAAAACTAACAAAAAAGGAGTATGTATATTCATAAATGAATAGACTTGTCCTGCTGCCATTTAAGCCAAGGATTAAGTATAGAATAGAAGTTATGTCCTAACAAATATTTCTACAGTACAAGAGAAAACCAAGATCACTTATATTTACCTTCATTCCCAGTTTGCAATTTAAGTTGGACATTGTGTCCTTATCATTCTTCTTCACTGAGGTTGACCATTGATAATATTGAAAAAACACAGGAGAGAAGAGGACACATCCATATGCTGACCGACAAGAATTCACAGATCTCAGAGCAAGCTGGAAAAACAAAATACTGCTTAGGAAAAAAATCAACTTTCTTTAAATGATTACTTTGAGAATTCTATTATATTTAACATTAATGCAATTAAATGTTAATTCAAATCAGGCTATGGAATGTTAACTGTGTTTTATGGACTACATTGTACATGTGAATTATAAATACATGGATTGCATAATACAGTGTGTACTGAATTTGCATACGTATATACAAATGTGCACATATCATTATTGAATACAGATATTAAATCCCAAATCTTGCATGTTGAAATTGTAAAATTATAAATGCCTAAGAAGTTCTCATTTTAATGTATGAAGTTGCAGAAAACAATATAAAGAGAATGAGAAGTTTCCCTTTGCAACAAAATGGTGATCTCTTGCCTTATCTAAGGGGAGAATCTCCTGGTGTCAACCAACTACTGCTTGGGAATGCAGGCCCAAAACTGTCAGATGAGTTTTCAAGAGAAGCATGACATTCCGATTTTTATGTGGGCTCCCCGAATTTTTAAGTTTAGAATTTATTTCAATTAAAAAAAAGACAGAGTATAGTCCCCACAAAACACTTCTGAAAGCCGTATCTAGTCTTGTGACCACCAGTTTGTGACTTCTGGGCTAAATTAATTGTATTTACCTGTATGACTATTAAGTTTACTATGCTCTAAATGTATCCAGATACATGAAATAAAAATAGTGAAAAGGATAGTTACAATTTCTGGATTTCCTAGGTACATTCAACCTGGACTGGCATGTGTTAAACGTTCTTTTGCCTTAATAGATGGTCTATTAGTTAACTTTCCTACTTACTCCTTTTTCAGATGGGTCTAGCCACACCTCGTCACTAACTCGTGATAGAGCTTGGATTGCTTTCCCAAATACTATGGAGAAAAAGAAAAGTGCTGCTTAAATTATTTCTCTCAAACAATGAAAACAAATCAGGATTACTTCGGTATTCACAGGACTCAAGATAAATTCAGGAAGAACAGTGTTTTATAAGCTAATGCTATAAATTACTTTTAAGAAATACAGTATAACACCATTGGCAAAATGCCTGACACACAGTGGGAGCTCAATAGATTCACAGAATAAGAATGTGAAATGATAAAATGCAACAAAATTTTTCCTTTCTGTGTATTTGAGATGTCACATGGAGCTACTGTGGCAAACCAATTTCTATATTAATGTACTTTTAAATTTAGTTTAAATAAATGTACCTGCCACCCTTGCTCAAAATTGTGAAGAGAGCATGGAGAGGATGTTCAAAGGGTTTTAATAACTTCAGATTTGGCAAAGTCAAAACAAGTCGTAAGAGAGAAATTACAGGCAATAAAGATAAATCAGGTGCCATTTATTAAAATCGGTCCTGTACGTTCCCATTTATTACTGAGCTGTTTATGTACATTTCCATTTCATTCCTACAACAACCCTATAAGATGTTGTTATTCACATTCTACAAATGAGGTAACTGAGATCTGAATTAGGTATCTTGTCCCAGGTCATACATTAAACAATGGTAGCATATGGAATAAAAACCAGGTTTACAAGTTTCTCGTAGCACTAAAATACTTCAACTGTCCAAGCATTTTTTTCCAACTCCTCCCCACACAATACTTATCCCGAGTTTGAGACCCGCACTCCCAATCTCTGTTCTGATGGTTCAACTTCATTTCATGAATAGCCATCGAAAGAACATTACGCCAAAGTAACAGCAGATGGGCCTTCATCCTCCCCTCAGAACCTAACTGGGCGCGTGGGGAGTGTGTGTGGCCAGACCTTGAGTCCTCAGCCCTTGTGCGTAAAGGCAAAGGGGATAAAATAAAAAGACGGTGTACACGCCCCAGGAACCTTAGCCTTTCTTCTCTACATATGAAGGCAGGAAAGGCTGCTGCACCTTTCACCCGACCGCCGCTCATCCCGCACTTCAGCATGGCTGCGGTCCCCAACAAGCAGGGTCGCAAGTGGCGCCTCAGCTCGACAGTCCCAGATGCCCGGATGTTGCTCGCACTTCTGAAAACATCGAGATCCTCTCTCGTGCATGTCCACTCTTTCCCAAAGAGTTGCTTCGCTTTATGGCGGGGAATGGCCTATGCGGGCCTCCGTACGACCGTCTCCGGTTGACCTATTTTTCATTGGTTGTGAGTATGGTGGGCGGGTCATTGAGGAAGCCTGAGGAAGAGGGCGGCGGTGACTGTGGTGACTGAGCGAAGCCCGGTGACAGGATGGTGAGGACGGTAGCCGTAGCAGCCGAGGCCTTGCTCTCGGACGGGTTGCTGAGTCGTTCGGAGCCTCTGGGAGTGTCTGGGAGAGGGCTTGAGCCATCCCAGAGGCCTGGTGGGCGCGGCCCAGGCCCGGGTTTGGGGAAGGCCCAGGGGTAGGACCGGGGAAGATAGGGACCGGCCACCTCTGGGTGCGGCCGGCCTTGGCCTCGCACCCCCGCTCTAAGGGCCAGAGGACGTCCGAGGGGGACTAGGGTCCTCAGCTGTTCGTTCAGTTACAAGACCCGCACTTCCGAGCCGGGAAAGGCCTTCGGGCCGGTGCCTTGAGAGCCCCCGAGAAAGTGGCCTGGCCCCCTCAGTTTCCAGACGTTTCCCTACTCCTTTCCTGCACCTCCCGCTGGTTGGGGTGTGCTGGCTACCACCGCCATGTGGCGGAAGCTGGCTTCTGGGATGCAAAATGGGAAGTGGTGGGCAGAATTCCCTGTCCGTTTTAGTTTCCCATCTAGGAGAGGGGATAAAAATTGTCCTTTCGCCTCTGAAATAACGTACAACTGACGTTGAAATGTCCTGAGAAGACTGGGTTTGGCTGTTAGAATTGCTTGTTTTCTCGGGATCCTGCGACCCTTTAGATGTTAATGGTTTATGTACTCCCTGAAATTGAAAAATTTTGTGAATACGTACATTTTTCTGGGTAAAGAGACAGTGTTGGAGCCAAGGGTACTTGGGAACTTATGCCTCTGTCGTTCATCAGACTGCCCCAACCAGCTTCAAGGCGGGCCCATCGCCCCCGCTCTCGCCGTGTGCCTTACCCCTGAAAGCTTCCTACATAAAAACTCGGGAGCTGGTACCGGAGAGGGCTCGTAGCGGAAATCACATTTTCAGAGATGCCCTTGACCCCCTCAAAAGTTAACGATTTCAAAAGGAGCTCTTGATTATCTTGGTATTTGTGTTGATGAGGTTAACTTTAAAGGGACTTCTCTGACGGCCATCCATTGCATTTTCAAGGTTATCGCGATTCTGTAACACTTTGAGGTGGCTTACGGACGTGACAGCCAAAAATATATGGTATATGTTTCTTTAGCTTCTTTATATATGTTAAAGTCTTCAATCCCACTCTTGATTTTTGTTTCTAAACAGACTTCAGTTTAAAGTAATCAATTTACAATAACCTTGAGAAGATTATCCCTGGGAGAAGACTAAATTGCCTGACATATGATTCCATATTCAAGTTTCTGTTTTTTTTGAGAGGTGAACACTTTATTAGTGTAGTTGTACTGGAATATCACTTGTCACATGACATAGAACGGGGCGAAATTTAGCATTAGCCGATTCTTTTACGATTAAAAGCAGTTTATTTGTCAAAGGAGATTAGAAATGTTCAATACTCAATAGTATCCAGAGTCTACAGGCAGCACGTTCAGGTGTGGTGAAGGTCTAGTTTAGCTGTAGGAATGTGTTTGGTTTTATCATCTTTAGTTGGTAACTTCACAATTTGATAATGTATTCATTGTGCTATGTTAGGTCTTCTGTACAAAATAATGACCTAGCTGCAGTGCAATTTCCCAGAAATTATGTTTATTACTAGAATTTTGAACATAAAATAATTAAAATCAGTATACTTGTGGAATAATTAGGTCTTAATCCAGAAAATGTTAGCTTTTATTTAAGCTATTTTTGATGAATTTTCCAAATTGTGTTATAAAATTCTAAACAACAGAAAACAAAAGGGATAGGAGTCAGTGTGGAGATTAAGATAAGGAAAAGTAGAAAAAGTTGACAAGGTACATTTTTGTTTGTGGGTGTCCATGTGTCATATTTAAAAATACAGAAAATGGTTCTTTTGGTATTGTTTTGAGCAAAGCTGATTTTTAACATTTTCTTTCATAACACTCAAATCATTAACAGTTGTTGGCATATTCATTTGATATAAATTTTTGTTGCTCTTTTTTTGGTTTGTTTCTTTTCGTTGCTTTCTTTTAACATTAGTCATGTTTCACCCTTTTTTTTCATTCCCCTGTCTGCAATCAACTTCATTCCACTAAGGCTGGGCACAGAGTAAGTTTCTTCTCTTAGCTCCTACTAACAATGGTGGTTGGGTGGCTGATTACTGGGATTTTCACCCTTTTAAGGTTTATCATATAGGAAGTAACCAAATTCCTATGGTTTGACTGGGTTAGTAGTTTATTTGAATTTAACAAGACTCCTATTTCCAGGATCTTTTGCTGTCTTAAAAAACTCCATAATCCATGTTTAACTTGAACTCTCAGGTTAGAGAGAGTTCCCTATAACTTTGTCACCTGCAGGAAATCAGTTCTAGTAAAGATTCTTACTAATTTTAAATAATTTCTTTGTGGTCATTCATACAATTATGTCTTTAGACTGCCAGTGGTCTAGATACATTTGGGCAGAATCCACATTGCATTATAGAATTTTAGGTCATGAACCTTTATAAAGTATCGTGTCTTACTAATGTTCTTTGTAGTACATTGATTGAACAGCTCATTCATTATTAGTCCCATACATTTTCAGTCTGTTATAGGCATATGCCCTTTTATGAGTTTGAGGTTCTTTTTTTTTTTTAATACAGGAATCTATTTTTTACCTTTTTCTCAAATGCTCGCTTCCCACATTAACTATGTACTTCAATCCGTATCTGAAGGGATCTCCCCTCTAAAGATGAAGATTGTTCTATCTCCAGGTACTTTGGTATTGATTACCATTGAGGGTGTAAATTTCAAGGTGGTTTTTAGTTCTGTGATGTTTTGGCCACTAAGATCTGGACTAAAACAATGAATACAAGGCATTGAGCAAATACCAGCTGAAACTACTCTTTATTAAAGAAGAAACTTCAAATTCAACAATTTATTTTAAAGTGTGCTAATTTTGTAGCCTTGTGTTACTTCAGTTACTGTACATCCTGATAACAGTTCCTTTCTTTTGTAATCACTTCGCTATTTGTTGCAAGGTGAATAAATCTTATTTTAGTAGTAATTTTAATTTCACACATTTTGTTTTGATTAATTTAAATTTCCAGAGTCTGGTGGCAAAACTATTTTGTTTTATGCTATCTTAGGTATTTTGTTTGATAATATTAAGGAATAGTCATGCCTTCTTTAAAAGCAGTTAAACGGCATGTGTATTGATTGATGGAACACCTGTGTGGGAAAACATCCCATCATAGATACTAATCAACATGAATAAATTGATTCCATTGTCCTTTGGAGGGCAGATACTATGTTTAAATGATCTTTTGACAATATTCTGTTAAGTAACAGAATTAAGTAATGTTTATCATCAAATCTTGAAATTTTAAAATTAAAATTTTACAGGATTGAGGTTTTTTATTCTTTTATATTTAAGTGCAAAATTTACTTTTGTCATCTGAGACTATGTTGCGACTCTAAAGCACCTATTAAATTTATCACTTATATAGCTTTTTTTTTTTTTTGATGCTCTAATACACATGAAAGATTGTGAAAATGTTGTTTGGTAACTAAACTGAGGGTACAGACAATTTAACCAAAACAATAAAATTATGACGGGATTCCTAATAAAGAGAAGATAAAGATTACATATATCATATAATAAATATATAATAGATAACAAAGATTATATTATATATGTATATATAATTCAAAAGCATGTGTTTGGCCTATTAAAACTCTTTGAAATATGGGCTGTTCTTATTTTTCTGTAGTATATAGCTATTAGTCTTAAGTAATAAATATTGTAAATTTTGGCTGCTTTCCCTCCAAATAGTTGTCAGTCTAGTAAACATAAATTATAGAATTAACTCTTTTTATCTTGTTAAATTTTTAACAATTTTCTCCATTAATGTTTCTGGAGTCAATATATGAGGTTTTACATTAAAATGGCAGAGACAACATATCAGTCTTCAAAAATGTTAAATTCTGTAGGGCCCAGTAGTATATTTTTCATTTTGTAAGTTTTTTATCCAGTGCAATTTATAGATCTCTAAATGAACAGCTTTAGAAAGCTCAATTTTATTCTTAATAAAGAATGATTACCTATATTGTGTATGCACACCTGTTTATGACCAAAATAAAATAAGATTCATTTAGGACAGCATATATTATCCTATGTGTGTTTGCTTTAATGGTCAAAATAGGAACTGTATGAACAACTTCTGCTCCTTCAGGTTCTGGAATCTGATTATTATAGTTTAAAAGGGGAGTGATGAGAGGAGAATATCTTGTTTTGACATCGTATTTAACATTACACCTTGTTTCACCTTGACACTTTCAAGTTGGTGTTGGTATTAGGAGATCTGCACATCCCCCACCGGTGCAACAGTTTGCCAGCTAAATTCAAAAAACTGCTTGTGCCAGGAAAGATTCAGCACATTCTCTGCACTGGAAACCTTTGCACCAAAGAGAGTTATGACTATCTCAAGACTCTGGCCGGTGATGTTCATATTGTGAGAGGAGACTTCGATGAGGTGATGTATTTCCCTTCCTCTTCCCTAATATTTCCTTTTCTTGATTCTGATATTTATAAGTTTTATCCTTCAGCCAGAGTTTCTCAACTGTTAAGATTTTTTTTTTCCAATATAAAACTACTACACGTATCTCTTCCTATTTGAAAATCACTGATTTTTGGATTACTCAATAAACATTTTAAATACTAGTTCTAACTAAATTTAATAGAGTTAGTGGTTACTATTTTTTGTAGTATTATCACTTAGTTTATATAAAGTTTTCGTTGCAAAATTCTTAACCACCATCACCTCTACTACCCTGTTCCAAGCTACCATATCATTCTCGTGTCGTCCAGCTTCCTGATTCTACCCTTCCTGCCACCACAGTTCGTTCTTCAAGTAACACCCAGAGGGATTCCATCATTACTGTGCTGAAAACCCTGCCATGGCTTCCTGTCTGAAGGGTTACCTATAAAGGGGCATGAGGGAGTTTTGAGGAGGTGATAACAAGTCCTCTATATCTTGACTCTGGTGGCACTTACATGACAGTATATGTTTGTAAAACCCCCTTGAATTGTACACTAAAAAGGGTAATTTTATTATATATAGATTATACCTCAATAAACCTGACTTTAATGAAAAAATAAGGAGTCCTAGAATTCCAGCTTTGCCCATTAACTAATAATGCTATCTCAGGTAAATTTTATCCTCTGTCTGGCCTTAGTTTCCTCTACGTCAGAGAGAATTTTTAAGACCCCTGTTAGTGCTTTGTATGATTTAGCATGATAAATCTGATTGCAGTATAAAAAATTTATTTTGTATTTCTGGGAATATAAGCTGTTTCATAAATTACTTAACTTCATTGGTGCTGTTTAATGATGGAGTTCCTTTATGCCAAACTGAGTGAGCATAGTGGGTTTTTTTAATGGAATTTTTGCAAAAGGTTTAGATAAACAAAAGGTGGCATGTAGGTGAAAGGGGGATGAGAAGGGAAGGGGCAACCTTGCCAGTAATTAGAATATAGGTCTTGCTTATTGAAAACATTAAGGGTTCTGTTTGTGTTATGCTAAAGACAGTTTCAGCAATGAGAATTAAGATTCTTTGCTTCTAATTTGCTAAATTCACAGATCCTGGAGCCAAACTATGAGGGTTTGGATCTTGACTCAGCCACTTACTAACATGTGACCTTTGGCAAGTTATTTTAACCTCTCATTCCTCAAGTTTCCTCATCCATAAAATGTGGGTTATAATAGAACCTACCTCTTAGGATTGTTAAGGATTAAATAGGTCGATATTTATAAAGCCCTTTGAAAGTGTCTGGTTCATACTAAGTGTTATGTGTTAACTATTATTATTTTAAGCCATCTGTATAACTATTAAAGCCTGCTATATAATTTGAACATACACTGGCTTACAGGTCTTACGCCTAGGATTCTTAGAGGAAACTCACAAATTTGGGGGAATAATTTTTCTCTACAGAATGCCCAAAAGAATCCATATACAATTAAGAGATTGCATGATAAACTCCAGTTTACCTAATGTATGTTTTGAGGATAGTTGTGGTCTTGGACACTGCGAAGAAATCAAATATTTAATAAATGGTTGTAGAGCACTGTATCAAAACATCCATATGAAATCAAATATTTAAGCAGGTTTTTTTAAAACATCAGTATCTCTAAAATACATTTTTTTCTGATGTCTATTCTTTAGAATCTGAATTACCCAGAACAGAAAGTTGTGACTGTGGGGCAATTCAAAATTGGTTTGATCCATGGACATCAAGTTATTCCATGGGGAGATATGGCCAGCTTAGCCCTGTTGCAGAGGCAGTTTGATGTGGACATTCTTATCTCAGGACACACACATAAATTTGAAGCATTTGAGCATGAAAATAAATTCTACATTAACCCAGGTTCTGCCACTGGAGCATATAATGCCTTGGAAACGTGAGTAGTAGGGAATTTGGGGGTTTTATGTAGTTAATTGTATATGTGGCATTTGTAAACTAGAAATTTGATCATTTAAATGATTATAGCCTTTTGACAATCTTTTGATGATTATTATTTTTAAATGTAACAACCAGACTTCTCCTTGAATCCAAATTGCCATCTTAAATTGAAAATTATAGTGCTGCTGCTTTTTAGTACAGAACACTGACATTATTTGTATTTTCTTCCAGAAACATTATTCCTTCATTTGTGTTGATGGATATCCAGGCTTCTACAGTTGTCACTTATGTGTATCAGCTAATTGGAGATGACGTGAAAGTAGAACGAATTGAATACAAAAAATCTTAAAGCTAGGCCTGTCTTGATGATTTTTCATTTGGGTTTTTTTTTTCATTCCCCTGTTCAAATGAAGTTAATTAAACATATAAAAGTGATATAAAAATTCTATCACTTTTATACTATTTTGCAGTAAAACATAGTATCATCTTCTGTTAATACAATGCTCTAAGCTTCTTATAAACTATAAGAACGTATTTAGTTTGAGTATATGATTTCTATGAAAAAATGTCCTCCACACAGTAAATGGTCATGTGTTAAGAAAAATTTATCCTTGTAAATATCTTGAAAGTTGATATTTGGAGCTTTATTACAAAAGTAGTGCATGAGGAAAAAGAATCTAGACTTTCTTGTATACATTTCTCTTCTCCAATAATAAACAGTTACCTTTCATTTATATTTTCTTGATAAACTGTGTTTTAATTTTTTTAAATCATAAAAATGAGACCAAATGAAAGTGTGGACAAGTATTAAAGTGATGAGTTTGATGAGATGCCCTTTCAGAGTTCTTTCATATCAACAATGTTCTGGGTCATAATATTGGAGTCTGATTTTATTCTAAATAATATACCATATTGACATACTGAATCAGTGGTGATTCTTCAAACTTGCTTTAATTGCCCATTCCTATTTTTCTAGTTTTAACAAAATTTTCTTGAAAACAATGTTTAGAAGGGAAGTGTGAATTTATAATGTAAAGTATCCTCTCATCATGAGTACAACTACTCCCAGCTTAATACAGTTTGAAAGTCTAAGTGTTTGTACATGGCAGTTTTCATAAAATAGGGCAAATTGATACTTCTATTTTTAAGTTGTGTTCAAGGAAAAAATATTTATTAAGCACCTTGTTTGCAAGCCAGTATGTTATCCCTATCAAATGTTCTCTTTTAATATGTAACATATATCAGGATATTTCAGTTTTCTCAATCCAATCAAGAAAATACTTGTAGGATATTCTAAGGTTGCTGTTTTAGGACTTACTGTAAACAGGAAAAATTATACAATGTATTTGTTAGATTTAAAGAAAAATAATTTTAAGTGACAAGAAAAATTTTAATTTTATCTAGCTATACAAGCATATATTACACATAAATTTTATTACACAAATGTCACTGGTACATGAACTACATCAAAGCAATTACACTGCTGTAGAAGTTTATGAACAAACCAAAATCAATGACTTGGTGGTGACTAACAATACTGTCCTAAATGCAGTGAGAAGACACAATTCACAGTCCTTCCCTGAACTTTGGCGCATCATTAATACACGAGATTGTCAAGTTAACATCACATGTTCTCCCTGTTCTTCGATTGACATTAATTGTATACACTTATTTAGTAAATCTTCTTCCTTTTTTTCTTCATTCACCTGTGATTCAGAATCATTTGCAGGAACTGAATGAAAAATAAGAGTATAGAATGTCTCTCTTGGAAATAAAGTTGAATTTCATTCTGAAAATTGAGATTTGTATAAAGAACAGCTTTCAAAATGACCTACCTTATTAAGCCTTTTGCAAAAGCAAATTGACTGCAATTTTCAAAACTTAATCACCTCCCTCTTCCCCCAAATCTCTTACTTTCTAAAACAAGATACTCATTACTATATTCTGAATCTATACAGATTCTGTTACTAAGTCCTATTTCCCTTGGCTTCTCAGTCTTTTGATTAGGGGGAAGTTACAGTTTCAGCATTCTCCATTTTCCCTAAGTTCCTTCTCATCTCTTTCCTTAGGGAGCACAGGAACTTTCCACTACTTGGGGTTTCCTCCAGCTGTTATTTTTGGAACCAGACTTAACTTCTCCCCTGCCATTTCCCTCATTTCTCACATAAGCTTAGTATAGTATTTACAGCAGAGCTGAGTGACACTGTCACATAGCCATGGAATATGGGTTTAGATGACCTAACTTCTTCCTGCTCACTTCCCTACTCACATGATAGTAACTAAAAAGTCATTTAACTTCCATGTAGTCCTTTCCATTTTATCAATTCTGAGAAATACTTCTGAGCATTCGATCTTCCTCTTGCCTTTTTCATTTTGTGGTATTCTGTACTTGGGGTAGAGGGATCCTTGTTACTGATTCTTTCCAAGTCTGGATTTGTCTGAGTTGCTCCACAAAATTTTGGTAATAGCAACCAGTTGGCTTGCTTCTACTGGTTTGTTGACTATTAAAGGAAATGGCTTAGGTAACAAAAATGACACTATGTCATAAAAGAAGTGCTGTGGCTTGAAAAAGTATATATAGCTCTGAGTTCTGACAAATTCTCTGTTAAGTCTTTAGGCTCAATATTGTATATTTAGAATTGGAAATACTTTCAATCTTAATGCCTTTGAGGAGTGTGTTCTTAGGTGAAAACAAACTATATTTCATGTTTTGGAGCAATACAAGCAAACCACTTAAAAGTTTTTAATGTCTTCTTTAATAGAAATGAAACTATTGGTTTAATTTTTTTATGTATAAGATCTTTAAAAATGCATATTTAAAAAGTTGCATATTTACCTGATTGTATGAACAGTCTGCCTGGTTTTCTGAAAATCTTCAGTGACTTAGATCTTGTTTTTGATGCATATCCAAATTTGAAACTGTAAGAGAAGCACCTTAATTGGAACCAGCAAAGTGAACAGCTACCTAATATATGTGGAACACGATATAAATTATTTTTATTAAGCTGCCAGCATCACCAAAGAGACCCACTCAGCCCTTGAATTCTCCTATGATATATTAACCCTGAAATTTAAAGTTAACTATTGTAGTGTTGGTTGAATAATCATGCTTCTTAATCTCTTTTTCTCTTTACCTTTTTGTTTATAGCATTACCTCTGTGCAGGAGCAACCATATGCTTCTCTTTTTAGAAGTGTTTGTATTTTGTATTTGAGTGGGAATCATTGAATAGGGCAGACTTCTATATCGCTGGCTTGATGAAGAAATTTTAACAATTCCCCAAAATATGTTTTGAAAGAAGTGGTATACCCCAGTCAGCTCAGTAAAGACACTGTAAGACAGCATCCTTTTGTGCTTTTTGTCCCAACTTTGAATTTAGCAAAGTGAATATAGTAGGGAATGCAGTTTAATGTCATTTAGCTACCCTTCAAATAAAATTGGGGTACATTTTCCTTCTTTTAAACAATAAGAAACAGACCCTTCTTTGCTCCTCCCTGGCCGCCGAAGGGAGTGTTGTATGACCACTTCATGTGCAGATGCAGCTGTGATGGTCGGCCCCGAGTTCACGCTCTCCAGTTGGTGTCGCCACGTGGTGCAGGGGTAATGCTGCCTCTGTGTGTAACGAGAACTGAGGCGGCTCCTAAGATGAGCAAGGACACCTGCCGTATAAATCACGTCTGTTAGAAGACCCCCTCGTTTTCTTGTGAGAACCAGTGAGAGAATAACTGGAGGTGCACTTGCCTGTCTTCTGTGAACTGTGCTGGATCATGTACACGTACTGCCTCTTCATCAACATCCTCAAATGGTTCGCATTATAGATCTTAGTAATGCTGCACAGATAATGCTCCTGGCCTACGGTGAGGTCTGAATGCTAAAAGACAGAACAAGATTTATATGCCGAATTGTAGAACAGAGGTGGGCAATATTTCTTATCTGAAAGGACGAATGTTCACGAGAGTTGTACCCTCTGTACATGCCACTTAATGAAACTTCAACTCTTAATTTGGCCAAAAGAGAAAGAAATGGCCATTTAAATAGTACAAGTGACTGTCATTTTCACTCCAGTGATTCAGATGCCCAGTGAGATTTGAGAACCACTGCCCTAGAGAAATAAGAAAAGTAGGAATCTGCTGTCTGTCAGCAAGTCTTAACTTTCCATGTGCCTCTCAGTGACTGGCATCTTGCTTCCAAACATCATTTCTGAGGTAGAATACGGTACCTAAAAGTAACCTAGTTATTCTTCATCTCAACTAAAGAAACAGCCTTTTCTAGTACCAGAAAGATAGCTGTTTGCATGGGACAGACTAAGGGATGGTATATTGTTCTCCGAAAAAAAGTAATTTTGACTAAGATTTTCACTGTACTTGCTGATTTTAGAAGTTAATGTTCACCTAAAACACAAGACACCACTATATATGCACATGTATACACACACACAGGATTTAATGCACTAAATGTAATAAATCCAGAGAAAATTCAAATATGTTGGTCAGAAAATTTTACCAGTTTGCACAAACTTTAGTAATTTAATCTTCATTGCTCTGGAAAGGATACTTCTGGCAGTGATGATCTTTGATGGTTAAGGTAATACAAGTCAATAGTTATAAAATGCGATTTCTTTACTTTATATTTTTGTAGTCCATGAGGCAAAATCTTTATGAGGATGGGTTTCCATGTCTAGAGTAGAGCTTTCCTCAAGAATCTTTGTGCTTGAGACACCAAGATTCCTGAGTAAAGATACATTAGATCTGAAGTATTTTAAAGCCCTGAAAAAAAACCTGTGGGATAGGTAATCTATAGTGATAAAATCCATGCATTCATTCATGAGTTTACCCAGCATATATTTATAGACTCCTAGACAATATGCTGGTTGTACTTTGTCTTCCACAATGCCTTACCCTTTAAGTAGTTTATCTTCAATACAGGTTCAGCTCTGAATACAAAGAATATTGGTATTTAAATATTGTGTTGGTATTTTAGTTAACATACCTTTAGAAAGGATGCATCTGTCATTGATTTAGGGGTGTGAATTGTTTGAATTTGAGGAGTTTTCCGTAACTCGTGCAGCTTGGCTATATGTGAGTTCACTTTGTGTCCATCTTTGACTCTATCTGTAGGCAAGGACATTATGTGAATTTCATGAGCAAAGATGAATTCAACAAATTAATTATTAAGATATATGTATTTAAATGTTCTCAATGATTATCCTGGAGTATTAATATAAGTCAGATTGTTAAATTTGAAGAGACTGTATTATATGCTATTTAGTTTTACAACATACAAATATCTAAGATATATTTTCTTTATACATATTATATGGACTACATTATTTTGAACTCAGCTGAGATGCAAACTGATGACAAGAATTTACCTTTTCAGTTTATTGTGCGTCAGACTATATACTAAGCAGTAATATATATACATGCAAGATTTGTACTTTACAGATTTACAATAACATTTTATCATTCATTTGATGTTAGTAATAGTTATAAAATTATATTCTGTGTTAGACTCAAGATAGAATAACACTTTTATCCCTGTAATGAGGCAGGTTAAAATGAAGGGCTTTGTAGAAATTTATTAAAACTTATCTTTACATAATTTCAGCTATTTCATTGTTTGAAATACTGATGTGAGTCTATTAAGAGAATAGTCTTTTAATGAATATAAAAGTTGAGATATTCCCAGAAGAATGGAAATGAGGTTTCAGTTTCAGACATATTGAGACCAACAATTTAGGGTAGTAGCAGTTTGGGGAAAAAAAAATATCTGGCAAAACTTAACTAGTAAGTGACTCTTTGTAACACTCCCCTCCTCTCCACATGGCCCCTCTCTCCAGGCAACCACCAGTGGCTTTCTATCACTATAGATTAGTTTGCATGTTCTTAAGTTTGATATAAGTGGAAATAGTATATATTCTGTTTACATCTGGCTTCTTTCACGCAACATAATTAACTTTAAAATCCATCCACTGATGTGATCATTCCAACAGTAGTTCATTTTGTTTTATTGTTGGGTTGTATTCCATTGTATGTATTATGTATATACAAAAATTTGATTATCCATTCACCTGTTGATGGACACTTGGGTTTTTTCCAGCTTTTGGCTATTATGAATAAAGCTGACAGAACAAACTTTAAGTTAAAATTTTGTACTTAGTAAACCAAATTAAATAAACACAGTTTTGTTTCAACATTATTGATAACAAAGGCCACTACAATTTTACATATTAATCTTTAAATTGACTTATTTATTTAAGATTTGGCAAACTGGATGGTTAGTGCAGATAAGTTATATTTGCCTACTGAAGAACTAGTTTTACAAGAAATACAAAATCATCTGGAAATTATGTTATGATCCTTAAAACAATTTAGAATTTGTAATAATCAAATGAATACCAATTCAACATTTAAAAGTTTATTTTTTTTTAAATCCTTTTTCAAAGTACCAATGTGGGCTAATTATCTAAGAATATATCTTTGTGCCCCTGCTAATCAGTATTTCTGCAATGCATATTATAATCTGGACTAAAACTTAGTTTCTCAAAGTCTTGATAGCATTTCTTTACAGAAAATTAAACATTTAAAAATAATAGTTAAACTCAACAACAAACAACCAAATTGATAAGTGGATTGAAATATACTTTGGATATCTTCAAAGAAGGTAAACAAATGGCGGGCAGGTGCATGAAAAGATGCTCACTATCATCAATCATTATGGAATTGCAAATCAAAATCACAATGAGATAATCACTTCATACCCATAAGGCTGACTATTATAAAAACAAAACAAAACAGGGTGAAGCCAAGATGGCAGCATGAGTAGAGCAGCGGAAATCTCCTCCCAAACCATATATATTTTTGAAAATACAACAAATACAACTCTTCCTAAAAGAGAGACCAGAAGACACAGGACAACAGCCAGGCTACTGCGAGAACCCAGCGCCTCACGAAGGGGGTAAGATACAAGGGGTGGCTGGCAGGACACGAGCGCCCCTCCCCCCCAGCTCCCAGCGGGAGGGGAGGAGTCGGAGCACTGAGGGAGAGGGAGCCCAGGACTGCTAAATAGCCAGCCCTAGCCATCCGCACCGGAGCGCAGACACACAGTGCATGCGCGGGGTACTGGAAACTAGGGAAACAGGACAGTAAGACCTGTGAGAGGGTCCCCGCAGCCGGCGCACCGGAGACGAAGAAAAGCAAGTGCTTTTTGAAAGTCTTAAAGGGACGGTGACCCCATAGCTGAATGCAAGCATCCCAGGACACTTAGCCCAGTAGCTGGGAATCCTGGGGAACTTCGAGCACCCTAACCCCCTGGGCAGCAGCAGCTCAGAGGCCCCTCACAGAGATAAACAGCCTCCTGGCCATTTCCCCTACAACACGGCTCCACCATACTGGTGCAGCAGCCTGAGACAGGTCACACCCACAGCAACTGGGCAGAGCTAAACTCCACAGCGGCCGGGCAAGAATCAGAAGCCCCCTCTGCATGCAGCTGCCCAGCAAAAGCCACTAGAGGTCAATGTTCTCCCAGGAGAGGAATGCCACAAACCAGCAAGAAGGTACATTCTCCCAGCCGTCACACGCGCCAGCTCCGCAAACTATCTCTATCACCATGAAAAGGCAGAAGAATTTGATACAGACCAAAATCAGAGAGTCAACCCCTGAGAAGGAGATAGACCTAACCAATCTTCCTGAAAAAGAATTCAAAATAAAGGTCATAACCATACTGATGGACCTGCAGAGAAATATGCAAGAGCTAAGGGATGACATCTATAGAACTCTACATCCAAAAGCAACAGGATACACATTCTTCTCAAGTGCACATGGAACATTCTCCAGAATAGACCACATACTAGGCCACAAAAAGAGCCTCATTAAATTCCAAAAGATTGAAATTCTACCAACCAACTTTTCAGACCACAAAGGTATAAAACTAGAAATAAATTGTACAAAGAAAACAAAAAGGCTCACAAACACATGGAGGCTTAACAACATGCTCCTAAATAACCAACGGATAAATGAACAAATTAAAATAGAGA